AAAGCACGAGCTTCCAAGTGTTTGTCACTTAAGTATCGTTATGAATAATACAGAAATAACAGGAGAAAAGCATCAGCTTAGATTGTATGAATACGAAATGTAATATGAATTCTAAGGTTTAAGGTAAAGACTTTAAAAGTAAGTAGTATAAAAAATATACAGGATTTGTAAATACAAAGTTAATGAAAATGCTAAGGAAACTACTATTAAAATTCTGTTCAAAATATTTAGACCAACGCCTTTTCAATATGAGATAAATATTAGAACAATAGAGCATAAGAATAATGTTGATCAGTTCTGTATAGTTACATATTTATATAGAAATACCTTTTAAAACCAACTGATTTACAGGAGAAAATTCAACTGATCAACTGATAGATTATCCTATATCATTCCTAGAAGTTTTCTAACAAAATTACTAATATACTTTATAAAAAATATTATAAATTTTCAACTTATAAAGCAAAGATAACAAATGATAATATTTGAAGAAGGAATCTTTCTTAGTTACATATTTATCTAGTTTATCAAAGTGGTGTCTTGGTTTCTTAGTTTTCTTCAACCGTATCTTTTAAATTTATTTTTAAACTATGTACTAGACACTAAATCCCATATATTTCCGTAGGGTAACTAAAATTTGTAAGTGGTTGAACATTATCTTAGGCTATTATCATACTCAAGTAGTAACTTATCTTTCAGAGAATATTTGCGATAAACAATTCCACACTTAAATAAACAATGCAATGGCTAAACGAAGCAGAAACTCTAACAAAATCCTCCCACACGAAATAGTATACTATAGTATAGAGAATTCTTCACACAATTAATAATAAGGTTGTTGAGTTGTAAGTAAGAACTCGATGAACTTGGCTGCTTGGTCGAGTGGCCAAGGTGAGCCCATTGAGAAGCCCATTGAGTATATGAATTCCCTGTTCGATTTCTGATTAACAAATCGACGAAAGTGTGTGCTGAGTGAGTGGAGAGCCAATAAGAAATCGCTTATACGACCCGTGGCCGATGCCGGGCATGCGTTCGCTTGGACTCGAGTGTATCCGTCAGTAATTGACCTTGCTTGCGCCGCCACATATTTTTCCAAAAAGTTTGTTTTCGTTTCTTTTCATTGTATATGTGTTTGTGTTTGCTTTCTGGGTTAAACAGCAACCTGAAAGATTTAAATAGAACTTTTTGGGGGTGGCCATCCCCTCGCTAGACTGTAGAGGAAAGAATTTATGTGACCAACTCTTGAACTTCACCCCCAATTGTGCTTTCTTGGCTGATTTTTGTTGCACAATTGTGCAGTAATTAGAGGAGAGGCAGCCGCTGCTGTGAAGTAATTCCAATTGTTATGCAATCAACGCGACACAAAAGATACATATACGTATATATCTCCTCCACTTCCTTCACACTTATGAGCACCGATTGTTGGCAATTTCAATAATTGACCACTCTTTTTTTTTAATAAGCCGCCATCGCAGCAGAGTGTATAACTTTTTCACAATCACATTTGTCGCCTTATTATATCTGTATCTGAAAAGAGAGCTTGAATAAGAGCTATCTGTGATCAGCACTTTTCAAAACGCCCCCCTTTTGCATAAAGGGGGCGTAACCGCAGACAGCACCACTTGATATGGAGTATCTGAAATATGATAATAATAAAACTCCTCGAAACGGCAGTGTCAGGAGTTTAAGTACATAAACATGGCCCTTATGAAGTCAGCCGCTAAATGTTTCCACGTATTTTTGTCAAGTTTTGATATTTTTGCTTCGAATTTCAGTTTGGATTTCCATAGAACTTGTTTACACGAGAAAATTGATAAGGTATTGATGGGATCAGCTTAAAAATGCATGGTACGAAAGTTTGGATTTCTGGAAAACTGACAAATAATTTGAGAAATTTGGAATTTGTATGGTCAAGGAATTAACTGGAGTTTGGTGAAATATTTTTTGATAAAGTTTATATCCAACATTTTTTTTGTGAGCTAAAATTACGGTGGACTTTATCTTAAAAGTAGCTTAGAAAATATCTAAGAGCAGACTAGCGAGTCTGCGAATTTCCCTGTCCAGCCTCTGACAGATTCTTCTTTAGTGTCTAAATCTAGCCTTATTCAGAGTTTTGTGTGCAATATTACCACAAAATGTAAGCTATTTTGTTCTCATATATAAATGTTAATCTATTTTCTATATTTATCAGCTGAGAGTTCAAGTAATTGCAATTAACAACGAAATTCGCATTGAATTTGAATTAGAATAATCTCTCAGCGATTCGCTTTATAAATAAAGCATCTCCGATAGAAAACAGTTGACATTTCGTCGGCATGCAACAAGCAAGAAGTTCAATATGCAACAGGCAAGTTTGGATCGAAAATACTGCCAATAAAATGTCAATCGGTGCTGTTGCACCGAGTCAATATCTTTGGGGGCACCCAAGGCGGTATGGATCCGGGAGGGGAAAGCACAGTTTGGCAGCTGTTGTGTGGTGCCGCATAAAAATAGCCGAAAAAAGCCAGGGAGCGAGAAAAGCAAAGAAAAGCGGCGCGGGCGAAATTTGCTTGTGTGTGCTTTTTCCTCGCCAAATAAAATACAAAAAATATATATATATAAAAACAACAACAAAATAAAAACTTAGAACAACTAAAAGCCCAAGTATTCGTAGAGTTATAAAACACAAAAGTCCCAGAGAAGAGCGCATCTATTTAAAGATTGACTGGCAGGCAGGAAAAGCAGCAGCAGCAGCAGCAGCATCGGCGGACTGGCGACATTTTCACGCGGCTGACTTAGCTGGGGAAAACTCAACAACGCACCTCAAATAAAAATGTATCTAGGCAGCCGCCTCTGACTCTGACAAGTTTTCTCTCGCATCTCGGGAAAAATCACACAGACACCGAAAATTTCGAAAATTGAGCACACGCGCCGCCATGCGAAATAATACAGGCCCATGTGAATTCCGCCCAAAGAACGAAATTTGTTAAAAATAAATTTCAATTTGTTGGCGAGAATTATGAAATAAACTAGTTCAGAGAGTGAGAGATGCAGTCAACAGGGTCTCAACAACCCAAGAATAGGGAATAAGGGTTTGAAATAGAATCTAAAATGTGAAATAGTTCCCGATTTCAATTCAAAAATATTTATAAACTTTAAGTACTTAGAAAACAATATTAAAATAGATCAGAATTTGAACCAAAATAGCCATGAGAAAAAAAAGGAAGGATCCTCTTCAGTTAACATAACTTTTTGTTTATTTTCTTATTTACAAATTTTGATTTTGACCATGTATTATTTTTAACTATGGTAATTCTCTTCAATAAAATAAAACAAGCTGCTCCCAGGGAACCTATTCCGAGTGGCATTTTGTCGTGGAATTTTCGGTTCCAAGTTTAATGACCACACGAGCACATCCCGAAAGAAGACCTCAAAATACCAACGAACTTTAGAAATCAGCACCAAATGCCAACCAACTCACATATATAGACACAAACTCAGGGCATAGAAATCAATAGAGCAGCATTTCTGTGTGGCTCTGGCTGAGATTACAGCATTTTTAGCCGCCGAACCACTCTGGAGTTGGAGTTGGTGTCAGAGATGGAGAGAGGGAGAGAGATCTTGGAATGCGCCAGTGCCAGGCAGTGGAGGTAAGTGAAGGCATCGGCATCTAAACCCGTTTTGGGTCAGCCAGCCGCGCTTTTACACGTTGTTTGGGTCGCTGCTTTATTGACATTTCGCCGCATCGAACGCAGGAAAAACAATAATAATATTACCAACAGTCAACCAGCCACAGTCAACTTTCACTTGTACGCATCGGCGGAAAGATGAAACATTCAAAATCCATCCAACCCGAGCGCATCTCATGAATGGAAAGATGAAAATCACATCGGAGAGTGGCCTTCCAGCTACATACGACAGGTGTCAAGACAGAAAGACATTCTCCCCACCGACTTCTCCTTCTTTACACTGATTTATTTTCGATCTTTGTGGGGGGTGGATGTAAGTACATATATTTCTCAACTGAAACTTCTATTTATGAAACCCATTTCTCATAGTTATTTATGGCAGCTGCGTAAAAAGTTACGGCTTAATTTCATGTAATTAACTGAACTCGAATGCTCGCTTTCGAGGCGTTGCTCCTCGTTTGATTTACAACTACAATTTGTGCCTTTCCTTATTTTTATTGTATTCAAAAATGATAAACTAGGGGAAATACAATTCTAATTAGTCCAGAGTAATTCGGAAACATGCATTTTGGACTTAACAAAATCACTTTTTCATATTTTGACGGCTTTAAATTAAATCTAAAGATGTTAATGAAGGGGAAAACAAATTTAGATTTATATATAAAATTATACCACAATTTGCAATAAATTCACAATTAATTTCTTCAACTCAAAATTGAGAACAAATTTAAGATTAATCCCTCTATTTAAGATATATCTTTAAATATATTTGTAAATTATAAGTGAATACTTTTAACATAATTTTGTTCTGAGCATAAATCAGATTTCAAAACTAAAACAGTTAATTTTGAATAAATAAATGCCTTAATTATTGAATTTAATTAATTTTATTGTAATTTTCAGCTTCTGTTATAATTTAATGCGTAGCATACATATATGAAACGCACTAAAAATAAATGCCACAAATTCTCTAAAAACTATTTCAGTGACTAGAACTTTTTAGGTATTCTTGTGACAGGTGTTTTGGAAATTGAATGGAAATTACTGCAGATCTAAGAACTGGAAGCCTGGCGAAGATGTGCAAGTGCTTGGAGTGCTGGCTGTGACCCAGCTGGAGAAACTGGGACAGGGACACCGCTCAGCTCAGCTGGAAAGCCGTTACTCAAATGGAGATTACACGCAGGCAGTGGAAAATGGGCGATGAGGGTGGGTGCTGCTGATTGAGTGGTGGTGGGTTTTATGACCTTCTACATTCTTGCGTGGGCGTTGCATGCTGCACTCTGGATTCAGTAATTTCGTTGGATTGGGGGACCTTTGGAGCTGCAAACTTACTTTCTCCTTGGCACGTCCAGCGTGTTTTTGCACAGATTTGGCCAGCATTATGCCTTTATTTTCGGACATTCAGTGAGTTGAAAACTTTGTAAGTATTATTGTGATGGCTGTAATTTAGCAAACTTTCGTATTGGCACAACTGGAAACCACAAGTAACCACTTTTTATGCGTTAACTTTTGCGGGAAACTTAAATGCACAAATGTAAACAACAAGTGTTGTGTTTATTATTCGCCTCGGCAGCGGCTACTATCAATATCGATGCGAAATCAACAATCGGCTCCCACACACTTGTTAACAGTATTCAGTATTGCGCCCCGCGATTCTTGCTAGTCTGCGCCTGCCTATTTTTACGCGATTTCTCGGCGCGTCGGGTTTGCTCGGCTTTTTCAAAACAAATGAAAAATTAAAAAAATCAAGCAAACAGTGATGCCATCATCAGCGACAGTGTTGCCAGATGAAAATTTGGCTCTCCCCCTAAAAAATCGCCAAAAAAGCCGAATTCCAATTGGAAAAGGCTACGAAAAAGAGCTAATTTTTAAACAACAATTTTGTGTGTGTTTGTTTTTATTATAAGTATAAAATATGTACGCCTTAAAACACTGAAAAAATAATATTGTTATATGTTGTTTGGCATTTAGAAGTATGTAGCTTTTTGTTTTAGTCAATTTTTGTTAGCTTATAGCTTTTTTGTCTCAGAATTTAGCTTTTTCGAGGCTCATCTCTGGCAAAACTAAAAGAGACCGTGCTTGGTTTATAAAGAAATATAGAAAGTGTGACCGGAATCTGGGCATAATCATCGATTACGATTAAGAAGATTGAGAACTTGGCTAAAGTTAAAGATAATTTAGGGACAAACTTTTTGAGATTATTTAGGGAAAAGACCAAATTTGCATCTGGCAGCACTGATCTTTGTTATTGTAACTTGCTGGTCATTTTCCACGGCTGTGCGACTAATTAAATTTAAACACCAGAGTCAACATAAATCAGTGTTAAAACAGCGCGCCAGTTAATCCACCTCTCTGCGGCAATGTAATTTCATGGCGGTGTTTAGTACATAACATACACGGGCCCGTAATACATAGTTATGTATGTATATAGGCAGCCGCGAAATCGTGTGTGTGTGCGTGTACAGCTGTAGAGTTTTTAATGAATAAACTAGGCACTAGTGTAGATTTACGTGCATTGCCTGCAAAAAGTAACGAAAGGGGCATATAGAAGAAGAGTCGTGGGCGTTTGGGGCATCGCAATCGCAGCATAAAATCGATTTCGAGTGCATGTGTGCGCGCGTGGTGTGTGTGCCGAGTGTTTGCATGTGTTTGTTGCAAATGTAAGAAGTAGAAGAAGAAGAAACTCACGCGCTTATCCTCTCTCTCTCTCTTCTACCCCATTGCTCCACTAGCAGCTGAAAGTAATAATTGAGAAAATTTTAAAGAAATCTGCCAGTTTGCACAAGTGAAAAGCCCAAAATCGTGTTAAAACCGACGAGGAGAGCTCCAAATATTTTTCCAGGTACGTAGAATAATTACGAGTACAACAATAAAGTGCGCGCCCTTGTCTGCTTGGTGTGAGTGAGTGGGTGAATATACGTATTCGTGCATAACCTCAATTGGCCCCAAATTGATTACGCTGAGCGGTTCCAGTGGCATTAATCACATCGAGAGTATGCATTCGTTGCGGTTGGTCCGTTTCGCGACACTCTAACTCGTCTGAATAATATTTACCCTATTTCCCGGGGTCCTTGGAGGTTAGAAAGTGGCTTTTATCAATGACAACCGACCGCGCTAATTACAGTTACAGTCTTAATTATTGTGTGCCATTGTGTACATTAGTGGACAGCTTTCTTATCGCATTTTCTGATATATTTACGTACATAATGCATATGTACATAAATTAAAGTTCCGCCATCTGTTGGCCCATGTGTGTGTGGCCTTTTTTGTCTCTGCTTCAAATTGATAAAAGACAACAGGGAAGAAACACGGAGAATATAAAAAATATAAGAAAGGAAAAGGTATTCAGAACAGCAACAACAATGACGCAAGGCACTCACACAGCAACGCAATCAAAACACGCAGCTGTATGTGTGAGAGTCGTTGTGTTTGCCGCGCTCACCTTTTGTTATTGTTGCGTTCCTTTGCCTCGGGTCCTGCCAACTCGCTTGAAACTGATACATAAAATTCATATTTAATAAAATAACTCAATCAAAGTCAATTTCTAACGATTTTAATTTTGTAAATAAGAGTACCCAAAAACAAGTTGGCAGCGCTACCTGATCCGTGTTTGAGTGTTTGTGTACAAGGTGAGCGAGACAGCGATTCAGCCTTCAATTTGCTACATTTTTTGTTGTTGTAATATTCTGTTGATTCTAATTAAATAATTCGTTGAAATCGGGCTCACTGCTTCTGTGGGGTCCAATTGAGGCACACACACACACGGATACACAAGCAAGTCTTTTGTGCTTTTCTCGTTTTCCCCCAAAAATTTTCTTTATGAAGCGCATCAAGTTTGTTGGCTGGCCTTTTTTTCGAGTCTGGTTTGAGCTTGTGGAGTGGATTGCGTGCTTTTCTGGTCGTTTGAAAACTTGAAAAACAAGTTACTTCTCCCGAACTCGAAGCTCAAAATCTTAAAACTCTCCCCAAACACACACACACGGACAGTAAAGCACATTTCACAGTATTTGTTTTGGCAGTATCCGCTCTCCACTTCTCTCGATCTTTCTCCCGAGAAACACCACAACACTTGCCGCGTCGCCAAACCGATTGTTCGCCGCAATCTGGAATTTGCAATTGTCTTTTGCCTCGCAGAGGCCAAAACGAACAAGTCTTGAACTTGATATTAGCCACAATCCCAAGCACAAACGCTCAGTCTGAGTTAACTGGCGCATGACTTGTGGTGAAGTTTCGAGTTATTACCCTTGTATTAATGGGAATGTAGAACATTTTATTTGTATTCATAGTAAAATTGTATCAAAATAACTTACAATCAGTCTTTGTTGTTAAACCTTTCCATGAGTTCCACATTTATAACTTAATCTGACCAAAATGTCAGATATAAGTTGTAAATCATTGTAATTTTCATAAATGAATTGAAATTTTGAATATCTAATTTTTTGTGACGGGTCAAGTGTCTAAAATCACAACATTTGTTGTAAACCTCCTGATAAACGTTGGAAATGGAGCCAAATTTGATGGCTTATGTTAGCATAGATTCTCTTATACCTCCAAAATTTTGTTGCTTCTCCAAGTACAAATTTTAAGTCATATTCTTTTAGAATACAAAAAATCTTTCCATTCAAATTTTAGGTATTGTTCATTTGAATTTTTTGAATTTCGTACTTATCACGTGTCTCTATGTGCAATAACTAATAAATCAGGTGACAAAGGTGGGAAACAAATATATATCTGATAATTCGCTGACCACGTACGAAACGCCAAACTAATTGGCAATTACATAAATTTTTTTTGCCGGAACACAACACATCCCAATCGCAAAATCCTCAATTTTCCTCGATCAGCGTTAATAATATTTAGCTTCGTTCAGCTGTATGTGTTGTAGTGTTTGTTACTTCTAAGAATTGAATCCATTCCTCAGCGCAATTTAATACATTCCAAGCCAAGGCAGGGCAGCGCCATCTGAAATTAGCACAGGGATAATTAGAACATGCGAGAAACCACCTGGCATTGTCGAAACACCAGTAAAAAAAAAAGGAAAACATCAATAATACCCAAATGGAAAGGCAAACAAACCTTCCTGCGGCGTCTGGAAGTCCGAGCTGCCTGCAGTCCAGGGACTCGGTGCACTGTGTCGGTGGACATGCGCTGCACCGCGTCGCGTTGCATGTGAACTTTGAACTTTCGAGGCTGGAAGCAGCCAGCAGCTCCTCGTTTGGCTGGGCACTTGTGATTTGCATTTCCTAACGCCACCGCCGCTGCAGGTGCCTTGCGGAGAGAGAGCCAGCGCTCTCCCTGCTCTCTAACGCTTAGTCGAACCTTTCTCTCTTTCTGTTTCCGCCCCCGCTGCATTTCATTGCGCAATGAGCGAGGCGAATCAATAACTGCAAGGTTTCCATGCCATCAATTCCCCTTCCACACTCCAAACCGATTTTTAGCAGCTAAACTTTTCGCGTATACAGATTTTTTTCGCCTGCGAAGGAAGGAGGCGGTTGCCGAATTCGGATTCAGATGCGAACATGTGTTTTTTACGGACGACAACGACAACGGCGAGTGGGTATGGTTCCGCAGCTCTTCCGCCATTGTCATGGTGAGATGCACTTTGCTTGGCCTTTTTTCGGGTTTTCTTTCCTGGCACCGCCGCCGACGACTCTGCCTCCGCCGCTCTCCACACGCACGCGTCGCTGTGTGTGTGCGTGAGCGAGGTGGATGTAGGAGTGCATGAGTGTGCTGCGTCTGTGTGCTCGCTGCGGCAAACTGTAACCGTGGCAGAGTTGTAGCCCGCTAGTGGTCCGTTTGGTTTCTGATTTTCGGTTTTGTCGATTTCATTATGTACTGCAATAGTGCCGGACAGCGCTGCCGACGTCGCTTCCTCCTGTATATACAAGTGCGTCTGTTTGAGTGCCGTTCGCTCTCTCATGGCGTATACAGGGGGACGGCACTCTACTTGGGGGATCGCGTTGTGTGGCGCTATGCTGTGCGAGTGCGGAGCACCCTGTTTTCTTGCCGACTTGTTTTCGCAGCTCTAGTGCCGGCTCTTTCGCACGCCCACTGCCTTGTTGGTGCTTTTTGCACTTACGTAAGCTTCCCGTCGCGCCGCTCTGAACACATTCTTTTCTTATCCAAATTCTAGGCGCCATTTTTAGTTGAATAGCATGCGGGAGACGTCTCTTTCCAGGAAAATTAACAGCCGCAGGAAGATTGTGTGTGCTGGCTGTTTTATGTACTATTTTTATTGCCTCGCAGCAGCAGCAACAACGCAACTGCAGCGTTTTCAATGTGCGAGTCCGGAGGCCTTTGGTTGTTGCGCCGCTGAGTTGCCACCCTGTTTTAGCTGCGAGCTGTGAGGCAGCAACCGAGGCGACAGAAAATGAATTCCAAAGCAACACTGTGCGCGCGCACTCCTCTCTCGTCTCTCTCGCACGCTCTTCGGCACCAACACACACAGACCTCGGAGAGCAAACTTTATGCAATATATAAAGCAAGGTCTCTCTCACGCGCTCTCCGCTCTCTATCGCTCTGCTGGCCAGTGTTGCCAGTATTCTATGGGTTAAATTAACGATGTGAAAAAAGCTAGAAATAGCTACGCAAAAATTTAAGTCTGCTAACATTTATGGGGATTTGAGTACATGAAACTATCCCACAGAACTACTTTGTGAATGCCCGAGGTATCCAATAGATAAAATAGCTTGAATTTCATATACCAGCATATCACAACATGATCCAGGAAGTGCAGTTTCGAAGCAGCTAGATCTAGCAATAAAATAGCTCACAGGGCAGCACTGTGCTGACTCCGACATACTGGCCGTCGTCAGCTCGCCGTTTAATCGAAAATGTTTGCGGCGGCGTTAAGATGTACGAAAACGTTTTCTCGCCAAAATTGTGTGAATAGCAGTGTAAATCTACCGAGAAAAATTGTATCAAGTCGCGCAAAGTCGTCTGAAGATAAATAGTGTACAGTGGTGATCCGGAAGTAGTAGAAAACTAAGCCAAAACCTGGAAAAACTAATTAACTTTCGAGCCAAGTCAGAGCCAGAGAAAAAAAGGTGAAAATTTCGGTTGGAAGTGAGTGGGAAAAATAGTTGCAAGTGCTAATACTGCGTAAAACGTGAAAGTTTCCAATAACACAAGCCCAGCCGAAACGAAACGAACGGCAGTTTGTAGTAAATATACCTACGGTACATACATACACATTTCGAATATACATACAGCCCAAATATCAACCGACGAAGCTCTACTGCTTATTGCTGATGTAAGTGCCTTGGGCGGGGGCGGTGGGGGCGTGGTGTTAGATGATGCAGGGAAACATCCTTCAAGTGCACTTGGTGCTGCAGGGGAAATCAAACTAAGTTCGTGCTACTGAAACTTGTGAAAAATACAACATTTTTAGGTTAGGTCAATTTCAATTGGTTTATGTACATACACACACAGTCGCACAGAACCAGCGAATACATATAGAAGGCGCACAGACAAAAAGTCGTCGCCGTCGTCGACGTGGTTGTTGTTTGTGTTGCTTCTGCGGCTGCTCTCGCTCGCACTTACACACACTCGGACGAGGGTGGAGAGGAGAGCCACTCACACACACAGTCGAACGTTTTGAACCATTGCTTTTGGCTTGCTTATGAACTGACTGTATTTTTTCAACGTAGTGTCGTTTTATTTTCGTTCGTTGATTCGTTCTTTGCTCAGTTCGTGCGCTTATCTCGACTTTTGCTTTGATGCGCCATTCGCATGTACTGGCGAGAGTTGAGTCGAGTGCCAGAGTGTGTGTGTGTGCATTTAAATGGCTCCCAGCACTGAATAATATTGCCCAGAGCTCCACACGGCACAATGAGAGCATCATTTCTTGCTCTTGCTCAGTTTCTTCGTCTTCATCTCCTTGCTCTTGCTATCCGTTTGTTGTTCCTGCTTCGCCTTTTCATTCCGTTTTTATTTTACACAAAACGTTCTTCCACAGCCTGAATCTGAATAGTATATATATTATATATATACAAATACGTGTGTGCCTTAGCTATTTTGTACATCTTTCTCTATACACATCCATATGTTTTATTTGCAAAATTTATTAATAGCGCAGCGCCAGACTGCGACTGTGTGTGATCCGTGTTTCTTGTGTGAGTGTAAGAAAGTAATACAAAAACTACACAAATATTAATTCGCGCATTCAGGGAACACCGACTGATGATTCGTTGCAGTCGCCGCCGCTGATTAAAAAATATGCATTTGTACATACTCAGGAGTGCGAAAAAATAAGAAAATAGTGCCTTAACCATTTTTGCATATTTTTCCGCTGTCTACCTTTTGTGCTGCGTATTCTCTGTGTATTGTGCTTGCTGTGTATACACATAACAAAACAGATAAGATAACATTATACGTGTGCACGTAATAGAGCGGGCTGAAAAAAAAAAAATGGAGGGAAAATTTGCCCACATGTCTCCCCAAAGCACACACACACGCACACAACGCCCCAATTTTGTGTGTTGTTGGAGCCTCTCTCACAAACACGCTCGGACTGTGTTTGGTATGCACTGGCAACTGTGATGATGGCGGGTCCAAAAAGTACAACAACAAGAAAGGCAGTTGAGAGCGGGAATGGAGAGTAGTAGCAGCATAAGCAACTTCTTTTACCTTATTTTTCTCCATAAGGACATTTGGTGGTGGTGGGAGAGATGGAGAGAAAGGAACCGCGAGAGAGCGAAGCTTCGTGATAGAGCTTTTGTGCGGCTGTACTGGTTGTGTGGTCCAATATTTGTTTACAAATGCTTAAGGGGGGCAGCTGTGGGCCGAGTTCGCTTATTTCATCAACTTGGAGAAGCATTGATCCTCGAGGCGGTTTCCATTCAACTTGTATTTACATACTCTCCTGCCCTGCGCACTCTTGTGCTCTCTCCAAAGTTCTCTTTCACTCTCTCGAATGCCCGCCAAATACGAGTTTACGTGAGAGTGTGTGTGTGTGCGTGTATGTGTCGAGTTGTTGTTGGCCCCAAACGGGTGAAATACCTTAAAAAAATCAGCTATATCAACTGCGCCTCAACAACAAATGCGGCACTCTCTCTCGAGCGCTCTCTTCTCTGTGGCTGCACCACCACCACCACCTTTACCACTTTGTAGAAGCAGCAGCGGCACCACCACCTTTGCATTGTTGCGTTTGCTGCTGCGGCTGCCTCTTCTTCTTGTAAGTTGTAGATACAGAATATGTACCAGGCATACTCCCCCCGCTCAACCCCCTTGGCGGTATCGGTGTACATATATAAATATGTTGGTTCTGCCTGCTAAATGTGTGTATGTGTACTGTGAATTCTATGCAAGCCGATGTCGTGCATGGGGCATTTGGCACCTTCTTCCACATCCATCGCATACACACGCACCAATCCTCATTTGAAGGTGTATACAAAAGCTCACTTAGGTAGTATTTACTGTACCGATGAAAAGCAATAACAAAAGTGCGCGCCCTATTCCGGTTGCACGTACACACGAAACTCTACTTAACTTCCACTCTCCTTGGATATTCTTCAACTTACTCTCTCCACCACCACCGATTCTCTAACTTCCACTTCGATCTCCTTCCATTGTGTCGTGCTGTTATTACTCCACCATTCCATTCCTCCTATTCATCACCTTTCTCTCCACCGCGCTTCCAATACAAAGACATCCCATTTCCACTCGGTAGTTTTTTTTTTTGATACGGCAGAAGAATTCCATTGGGGCCTGTGTTTGCTTTACCTTTCCGTTGGAATGTGTGCAATCGTTTTATTTTAGATAGATATAACTAGATATATAGACACGGTATTGATCAATCATGTGTGTGAGGTATTTGCAAACCAGTATTTCTGTTTTAGGGGAAAAATGTAAAAGTTATTTTAAACACATTAAAATCTACTGAAATTGTTACCAACTCACGTCTTATACAACATTTTTTCTCCACTTGCAGTGAAAGCCACCAAAGTAAAATCCGGAGACAAAGAGGAGCCACACGTGCCAGAGGAAATCTATAAGCGAAGCTGCAGGAGATAGTCGGGAGGGTGTGAATCCATCCCATCTCTCTACATTTAAAAATCAAGTGTATTTGCCGCTGGCGGGGCGACCAAATGCATAGACAACATATGTCGCAGCCACGAGCAGTCCAAGACCAAGAGTTGCGACCCCGACCGTTCGTTGCATACTACATACGCTCATAGAGCATCCCACCGTCCTTGCACTTGGCCAGCAGGGAGCCACCACACACACAGAGGGTTCAGCCAGGTTCAGGCAAGAACAGGAGCAGCACTAGAAGCTCCGAGCACTAAGCAAGACGATAAGATGATGAAACGCACCCGTGTCGACGAGGTGCAGTTCGGCACACGACCCGGTCCCCCGGTTCCCGGAGGAGTAGGAGTCGGTGTTGGAGTTGGTGTCGGTGTGGGAGTCGTCGGCGTGACCGGTGGAGGACCACCGACCGGCAGCGGTGGCAATACAACCAATGTCGGTGTTAATACAGCGGGTGTGACCATAGGAACGGTGTTGCCCGGAGCCCACAGCGCAACTATCAGTGGCATTGGTTCCATTCACCATCGCATCCTCACTCCACAACATGGGGGAGCCCAGACTATTGCTTATTTGCCGTCCACCACACCGACGGCCACCAACCTAAAGACCACAAGTGCGATTGTGGACAGCAGCAGCAATACTGGAGCTGGAGGCGGACCTGTGGTAGCCGGTGCCCAGGTGACTGTGGGAGGAGTTGGTGGAGCCGGAGGCGTTGTCGTTTCCACGGGCAGCACAGGCACCCAAACATTGCAGTATACCACCTGTAAGTATTGCTATTTTCACCCTCTGATGAAATGCATCTTACTCATGTGTGCCTCTTCTTTCTTCCACAGCGTATAGCGTGGCCTCCATTCAGGCGGGTGGAACTCTCAAGGCCAGCACAGCGGATGGCGCCAACACAGTACAGATCCATGTAACTGGAGCCGGAGCAGGAGCCACAAATCCTGCCAACGCACAGACCGTCTCCAGCAGCTCACAAACGGGCCCAATCCGTCAGCGCACAATCAGCGGCACACAGACGGTGGCCAGTGCCGTTGGCAATCTGGCCACGATGGCCCAACAGCAGCAGACCGTTCAGCAAGCGTCGCTGGTTACCGTACCAACGCCACCATCGTCTGTGTCGGCCAACAGCGTTGCCGGGGGTGCAAGTACACCACCGCAAGGACAATCGGGCAGCGCCACTCCACGTTTGAAGGTGGAAGATGCTCTCAGTTATCTGGACCAGGTGAAGTATCAGTATGCGGACCAGCCGCAGATCTACAACAACTTCCTCGACATCATGAAGGAGTTCAAGTCGCACTGCATCGACACGCCTGGCGTTATAGAGCGTGTCTCTACGCTTTTTAAGGGGCATACGGAGCTGATCTATGGCTTCAACATGTTCCTTCCGCCGGGCTACAAAATTGAAATACATTCGGATGCCCTTGGCTGTTCAGTGCCCGTGGTTTCGATGCCCTCACCACCGGGAGCACCCTCGAGCACGGGAACGGTGCACATGCTCACCGGAAGCAGTCCGATGGCAGGTGCCTCCGGACATGTCGCCATAAAGACAGCGTCTAATGCAGCAACTCTTACACCGACCACGGGAGCTGGCGCTGTGGCCGCAGCAGCCGTGGCGCAGATCCAGTCTGGAGCTGTGAATCTGATGACCCATGGTGGAGCGTCGCTCACCCAGACCACAATACATGCCCTGCAGCAGCATGCAACGCCACCGCAGTCGCAGTCCCCAAGCGGCGGTCATGTTCACGTGAGTGTCACCAACTCGCCGGCACCAGCTGCTGTTGTGCCCCCCATCTCTGTATCGGCGCACAATATGCCGCAAAATTACTCAAGGGATCGTGAAAGGGCGACCATCACGCCTACGGGTCAGGTGGCAGTTTCGGCGGCACCGGCCACCGCAAATTCAGCCGCTGCCGCCGCTAGTATTGTGGTGGGCGGACCACCGACGCCAAATTCCCTGAGCGAACTTAGTCCTCACGGCGGCGGGGGCGGCGGAGGTGGAGCCGGAGCGGCCCAGCACAATCTGCATCACATCCAGCAGGCGCACCAATCGATTCTCCTGGGCGAAACGGGACAGCAGAATCAGCCGGTGGAGTTCAATCACGCCATAACCTATGTAAATAAGATCAAGGTAAGGTTCATCTCACATTTATGCAGCCATTTTTGTACTAATTTGTTACTTTTATCTCTCGGATCGCAGAACCGTTTCCAGAACCAACCGGCCAAGTACAAGAAATTCCTGGAGATCCTGCATGCCTATCAAAAGGAGCAGAAGGTTATGAAGGAGGGCAGTCTGAACCAGGGCAAAATGCTCACCGAGCAGGAAGTGTACACGCAAGTGGCCAAGCTCTTTGGCCAGGATGAGGATTTGCTAAGGGAATTCGGCCAGTTTTTGCCAGATGCCACCAATCATCAGTCCGGACAGTACATGTCCAAGTCGGCGGCATCAGCAGTGCACAATGATCATGGAAAGCAGCGGCCGACTGCCACATTGAGCGGCGGAGCACACATTACAATGTCATCCGCATCGCCAGCGCCCAGTGGTTCCCCTCTCCATTTGGGTGGCGGCGCTACAAATCTACCGCAGATCGACAATAGTGCTCATGCAGCGGCCATTGGCAATCTGTCGGCGGTCAACACCAGCGTCAGCATCAAGACGTACAACAACAATCAGCAGCAGCAACAGAATCATGTAATTGGCTCGGGCCTGAATGCAACGTCCAGGAACGATATGCTCTACGAGAAGGACTATCATCACACGGGTCTGCAGCAGCAGCAGGCACACCAGCGAGGCGCCGGCGTGGGAGGTCACCATCATCATCTGGTTGGCGGAACTCCGGCGGGCGCAAACCTAGGACGACCGGGTGCGGGAGCCAGTGTCATGGTTGCCTACGAGAAGGATCATCATCGCAACAATCATCATGTCCAGAAGTATGTGGGCCATGCTCCCAATCAGAATCTGTCGCATGGCGGCCACAATGCCAAGAAGTCGCCCAGTTATGGCATCACCTCGGTAATTGGTTCCATGCCGCCGCACCTGTCGGACAATTCCCTTGATCGCAGTTCGCCGGGCATAAGCTACGCCACGCCGCCGTTGCCCGTTGGCCAACAGCAACATAATTCCGCCTCGGCAACGAGAAGGCAAGGCGGCGACGACGGCCTGGCCGGACACTACGCCAGCGGAGCACCGCCTGCCAAGCGACCGAAGCCTTATTGCCGGGACGTCAGCTTCTCGGAGGCATCCAGCAAGTGCACCATCTCCGATGCCGCTTTCTTTGACAAGGTGCGGAAGGCACTGAGGAGTCCCGAGGTCTACGACAATTTCTTGCGATGCCTGACGCTGTTCAACCAAGAAATCGTATCCAAAACGGAACTGCTGGGCCTTGTCTCGCCATTCCTCATGAAGTTCCCGGACCTTTTGCGATGGTTCACCGACTTTTTGGGACCGCCTGTTGGTGGTCAGGCGGGTTTAATTGACGGCATGCCCCTGGCCGCCACTCAAAGATCCCAGGGCGGTGGCGGTAGCAGCAATAGCAGCTCGCATGATCGAGGCCACCAGAGTGCCGCTGAGTACGTCCAGGATGTGGATTTATCATCGTGTAAGCGACTGGGCGCCTCCTATTGCGCCCTGCCGCAGTCTACGGTGCCGAAGAAGTGCAGCGGTCGGACGGCGCTCTGTCGGGAGGTGCTCAACGACAAGTGGGTCTCCTTCCCTACGTGGGCCAGCGAGGATTCCACGTTTGTGACGTCGCGGAAGACGCAGTTTGAGGAAACGATATATAGGTGAGAATCACTACCACAACTACCTCTTCTCCACACATTCTATTGGTTCTTTAGTTTCCTTTCTGTTACTGTTTTCTGTTTTTTGTTTTTGGGACCTCAAAGCTGCGGTTTAAATTAATTTCCATTATATTAAATATTTTTAAACACCGTCTTTATGTTTTTTATGTTTAAACCGCAACTTTGATTGTCCTCTTTGTTTGTTGTTTGTGTTGGACCTTCTTCCTTCTCCTTTTTCTTTGGCTTTCGTTTATTTGGAATTAACCAATTGCGCACACTCTAAACAAAAGGAATATTCACAGAACGGAGGACGAGCGCTTCGAGTTGGATCTGGTCATTGAGGTGAACAGCGCCACCATTCGCGTGCTGGAGAATGTGCAAAAGAGGATGTCCCGCATGTCCACCGAAGAGCTGGCCAAGTTTCATCTGGACGACCATCTGGGTGGCACATCTCAAACGATACACCAGCGGGCGATTCATCGCATCTATGGCGACAAGTCGGGCGAGATAATCCAGGGCATGAAGAAGAACCCCTCCGTGGCAGTGCCCATTGTGTTGAAGCGGCTAAAAGTCAAGGAGGAGGAGTGGCGGGAAGCGCAAAAGGTAAGTGAATCCTTGTTAATTTCCAAAAATACATTTAATTTCATTAATTTACTTGCATTTACAGACCTTTAACCGGCAATGGCGGGAACAGAACGAGAAGTATTACCTCAAATCTCTCGATCACCAAGCCATCAACTTCAAGCCCAACGACATGAAGGCCCTGCGCTCCAAGAGTCTGTTCAACGAGATCGAAACGCTGTACGATGAACGGCACGATCAGGAGGACGATGCCATGGAGCCGGCGGGACCGCATCTGGTGCTGTCCTACAAAGACAAGACAATACTGGACGATGCCGCTAATCTGTTGATTCATCATGTCAAGCGACAGACGGGAATCCAGAAGCAGGAGAAACAGAAGATCAAGCAGATCATCCGACAATTTGTGCCTGATCTCTTCTTTGCGCCGCGGCAGCCGCTGAGCGACGATGAGCGGGATGACGGTAAGTTTGAGATAATTGAAACACTTTCACACACTTTTGGTAGTTAACACTTGGCTAACAAAAAATTATTGAAATAAAAAACAAACTCACCTAACACACATTATTATTATTATTATTTCAAACTAGAAACTGTATTTAATGTAATTATAGCTCGCTCGATTTGTATTTTTATTAACATAGTGAATGTTTTTCGTTTCTTTTTTCTTCTTTTTATACTGCAACCAAAAATTATTGTAACGTAACACACACGACAAATATGTAATTGAATAACCCAAACACTGGACTGCAATGCACCACCAACCACTCACCTCTGACCCACATCGACAATCCAATTGTGCATTCGCTGTTTTCTATATAGCCTTTCCATTTTTGGTAGATGACAATACGAAAATGGAGGTGGACACACCCACTACCAGCTCGCCCCTTAGTCGCACAGAGTCGTCGTCGACGGCGACACGGAATGCCAAGGGCGAAGGCAACTCTCCGGCGCGCAGCAATGCTAGCAGCACTAGTGGCACGCCGGCGGGGATTAAGAAAGAGACTGACGACACCAAGGCATCATCAAGTGGGACGGCGACGACCGGAACATCAAGTTCGGCGACGTCCGTGGACGATGCGACCCCATCGACGTCCACAGCGGCGGCAGCAGCAGCAGCAGCGGCGGCGTCGTCGTCTTCAGCGTCCTCCGCTTCCGAGGCAAAGGCCAAGGAAGAACCCCTTTCCGCCCATAGAGAAGATGGAGCTGGTAGCAGCACCAGTGGAGGAGCTCAAGAGCCAGCAGCAGCAGCGACTAGCGGCGATGTGGAAATTAAGCTGGAGAATCCGACAGACTTTGTTCATCCCAAGCTGTTGCCCCCGCATGCACAAGGCCAGCACGATGTGAGTGTTAAGTATATTTCCTTCATAAGAATCGTTAATATCTTTAATCTCCATGAAACCAGGATGAATCATACTCGCTCTTCTTTGCCAACAACAACTGGTATCTGTTCCTGCGGCTACATGCGATCCTCTGCGAACGCCTGCACGTGATGTACGAGCGGGCACGCCTGCTAGCCATCGAGGAGGAGCGTTGCCGGGTGAACCGAAGGGAGAGTACAGCCACAGCGCTAAGGCTGAAGCCTAAGCCGGACATCCAAGTGGAGGACTACTATCCCACCTTCCTCGACATGCTGAAGAACGTACTGGATGGCAATATGGACTCTAATACATTCGAGGATACCATGCGGGAAATGTTCGGCATCTATGCGTACATCTCTTTCACGCTGGACAAGGTAAGTGTTGAAGATTAAACTATCAATGACATGAGAATGACCCATGGCTTTCCTCCCCCCCAGGTTGTATCGAATGCCGTTCGCCAGCTGCAATACTGTGTGACAGAGCGGGCCGCCCTGGATTGTGTGGAGCTGTATGGATCTGAGCAACGCCGTGGCAGCACCGGTGGACTCTGCCGCGATGCGCACAAGACCTTCGATCGGGAGATGTCGTATCAGCGCAAGGCGGAAAGCATTCTCAACGATGAGAACTGCTTCAAGGTGTACATTGTAAGTTGAACTCTGAACCGAAACTTTTAATTATTCTAAGATGAGATGAAATTAAACAAAAAACACACCTTTATTTGCAGTACAAAATCGATTGTCGCGTAACCATCGAGCTGCTCGACTCTGAGCCCGAGGAAGTGGAAAAACCGACTGCTTTAAAGGCCCAAAAGTTTAGCAAATATGTGGAACGATTGGCAAACCCTGCTCTAGGCAGCGGAGGAGGAAATAGTGGCGGCGGCGGCGGGAACAGTGCTGGCTCGAGTACGGCGCTAGGCAACGACAATATTGCGGAATCCTCTGATATCAAAACGGAGGAGGAGGAGGAAGATAATGCCGAGGTGAGTGAGCAGCGATGATGAAGCTCCGGAACCGGAATTGGAACCGGAACACAGCTTTGTGTGTGGTGTGTGCTTGAAGAGAGTGGTTAATCATGTTGTTTTTGTGTATTTCGTTGTTCATTTCGATTGTTTATGTTTGTCTTTGGTTTCCTGAGTTGTCCACTGTACACAACAAGCCCTGCTCCTACTCGCCCCGGCTCTATCTGTATATAATTATCCTAGTATATACATGTATATATCAGTTGTTTATCTATCAACTTTTGCCACCGCTGTCGCACTTTGTTTTACCATTATTTCCTCCTTTACTCTCCTCATTTTGCCAGCTGTTTCCCCTCACTAATTTCTCTGTTCATGTATATCTTTCGTTTTGGTATCATTTATATATCAACATGCCAACGCCAACTTTTATTAATCAGCCGCCCGCCCGTCCGCCCGCCACATTTCGTATGCATTAAAAAAAAAAAAAAAATACTCTCTTGCATACGAACCAACTAACTTTACATGAAAAGAAAACAAAAGAAAATATCTCACTAATTAAATGCTTTTTTGCATTCTTTTTCTCTCATTTTTTATTCCAATTTATTTTTTCGTACCAGGTCAATTCCAAGGCTTGAAATAACATAGTTTTGATAATTTCATTGAATAATAAGCAGAAGAAAAAGTCATATTGCAAAATGAAATAGTAATAACAACAAGAAATCAATTTGTTTTTGTCTGATTACCTTAAAATAATCAAGAAAATATGAACAAACCGAAACACCTACTTCACCTCACCGCCAACCGCCACAACCACCCACGAAACACCCCACTCACTCTCTCACACACACACATTGAATGTAAACAATAACAATAGCTCAAAATGAGGAAACATAAACCCAAAAAATGCGCTCACCTCAATTAAGTGTAGTAGTAAATACAATCCACAATCCACAATAAGAACAAACATTTATTGTAAAATAGTTGTTAACAATTTAAATAACGTAGGCACGCGGCACGCGCTTGTTGCATATATTCCCCTCTGATTTTGTTATTGCCTTGTGTTGTGTCTATATTAAAGAGTTGGAGAGAATCGCAGGAGCAGCAGGATCAGAGTAGTGGGTAAATGGTGTGTGTTTCTGGGCAGTGTGTGGCTAGTGGCGAGCGTTGAGTATGTAAATATTGATGAATTGACGTGTTTTTAAATGTACATAACGTAATGCTAACAGTGGTAATCATGGTCTAAGCAAAGCCAAATGAATAATAAGATGTGTAACGCGCATATATATAAATCGATATCTTAAATTTGCGATATATGAGCGATAAAAAGACTTTCACTTTGGTATATCGTACGAATAAACTATGGAAAAGAGACGTTTCTTCGACAATATTATTTTTTGTCGCAAAAGAATGTCTTATCGCTCTCTTTTGCTGTGGCGTTACGCATCTTATTCTTTATATGCCTTTGGTCTATGTATGTATTATTGTGTAAACAAGATTAGTAGCTAATTTTGTAAAGGAAGCAGCAGCCAAGCCAAATGTCTTTTTTAAATTCGGTTATAATTTTTATATATAGGCAATAAGAACAGACACACACACTCGAGATAATTGTAAATTAACCTAGCTAACACACACACACAAACACAATTACAAATGTTGTGGACATTACTGGAGATTGAAATTGAGAAATATATATCTGGAGCCAGCAGCAGCAGCCCATTAAAAAGTCATAAATGCATATTGGAAGTTACTGAAAGAGATTGGGGGGGATGGTGGGCGTTTTGGGGGAGGGGGATTCTCTCGGGGTTAGAGCAGACCTAAGCTTAAGCAAGGTAAGTGAGTCATCGCATTGTAGAACTCTCTTTCTCTCTTAAGTTCCCTTAGACCTTAGTCCGTAAGCTTTTCGTTTTCGTTTGTTTTGTGCATATGTGTTTAGGTGTTTCGATCGTAATTCCCCTTTGCCCGTCCATGTTTGGTCTGGTACTGGTACCTCCTCCTCTTCCCCCATCTCCCCCATCATCCTTGGTTTACTCTGTACCTTGTCATGTTTCGTTGTTCCATATATATGTCGTCTTTCTATCTGTTTTGTAATGCTACACTTCCACCCACACACAAAGACAGCGCAGTAACCCGCTTTTAACGTAATCTCGTAAACTCTCTGTGAGCATGTCTGAGTATTGCCGCCGTTTCAATTGCTTTGGCAATTGTCGCAATTATGCACAATAAAAGACTCACTCTTGCATTATTCTCATTGCAGCTGGGGCACAGGGGATGCGGAATCGGTGGAGGAGTTCGCAAGGCGCGCTTTTTGCTGCGCAACAAGCGCCGGTCGCAGCTGCACGAGGAGCAAGTGCGTCAGTTGTTTGAGCAGAAGCGGAATCGCACAGAGCTGGCAACAACGACTACAGTCCAGGCAAATGACTCGGGCGAAACTATTTCCAGCAGCAGCGGGAGCGGCAACTCGGCAGCCGGCAGCAATAATAACAATAACAACAACAATAATATTAACAACAACAGCTGGAGCGGCGGCAAGCGGTTGCCCGAGAGACTCGGCGCCCCACAGGTGGGCCTGGCCGAGCAGTATGCCTTTAATGATCGCGACGAGATCAGCACAAACCCCAGCAACGGGCGTTGCTTTGTGACCAGCAAGAATCTCAAGCTACTCAAGTACGATGCAGTGCGTCGTGCCAAGAAGGTGAGCTTTTCTTTAAAAACGAAAAAAAAAAAATTTCTAATTATTATTTATCTTCTCACAGAGTCACTACCGCGTCACCCAGGCCAAGTACTCGCACTTCCAGACCTTTGTCAACAAGTGGCTGCAGCAGCACGTTAGCGAGCAGCTGCAACAGAACTGCATTGACTGGCTGCTGGGCAAGACTCCGGATCAGATCAACGCCAGCGGCTGGGGAGCGGCCAGCAAGACAAAGACAGTGCCGCAGAAGGATACCACAAAGACGCCGTATCGCATCTACAATCGGTACAAGGTGGTGCATAGCAGCTCGGCCAGCGGACTGATGAGTGGCGGAACAGCAGCAACAGCGACCAACAACACCACAACGCCGGGTGCGACGACGCCGGTGGCCAATGCTGCACTGGCATCCTCAGCGGTGTCCTCAAGCTCGAGCTCGGGGCATACCATTGTAAACAGCAGCAGCAGCGGCAGCATTTTGAGCGCAGACTCAACGACCACCCCGACCAATGCAACGCCCCAGCAGCAGCAGCAGCAACATTGCAATAGTGCGGCAGCTGCAGCATCGGCAACCACAAATAATGCAGAGGCACTGCAACAGGTGCGACCCATGGAGAGCTAACCAGTAGCGACCGCCTGGTCAGATGCATTCACATGACGATAGAGAGACGGTGAATACGCCTGAATTCGATGGAAAGTTTGTGTTTTTAATTGTGATACCAGTTCCTGGACGCGGTCATCGAGATTGCAGCTAAACCGACCGAACACACAACATCGACTTGGCATGGGGCACGGGAGATATTTGATCGAAAGAAAGCAAACTCCCTTTTCATATTGTACAAAAAGTCATTTAATCTTAGACGGTTTGCTTCTAAATAAGAATTTGTATAATCTTAATTTTAGGCTTAAAGTGCACGTACACGGCAGCGCGTCTTTTGTTTTTTCGAAGCGCTTTTAGATTTTAGAGTGTAAGAACACAAAACACATACCTTATATCATGCAATCGCAAGTCCCAATAAGAGTCAGAACCATATATATTTTGAACGAGTGACAGTTGTGCTAATATTTACCATACAGAACTTGTCTGTTAGCCAAGTAAGATTTTATAAACATCAAGCCCTTTACTTTTACATGTAACAACGTATTTTTATACAACAGAAACAAAACAAACCCACACAAACCTTGTACAATTCCTTGTGAATACCTATTAATTACTATTTACGTGCTTAAGTTCACCTATCGTTAAGTTGTAAAAACGTAATGAGCGCAGATTAAAACGGAAAGTTTATCAAAAGTGAATAGCAAAACTGTGTTTACATACAAAGACATACAAAATATTTATTCAAAGTACTCGACATTCGATACACTATTGTTGTTAATTGTTAATTGCATTGAATGCAAGGAAATCACTTGTAGATAAAGTCTCGTCGCGTTATAATGCCAGCAATGCGATTCTCATTGTTAATGACCAGCAAGTGTCGCAGGCCCAAGGCGCGGAATATCTGGAAAATCCTGGGCACCGAATCGTGCTGGGAATGCAAATGGTGTTTAGTTTTTACAAGTATTTTAGTATATTTAAAGTCTTACCGGATTGACGCGCACTGGAGATGGGTTCATAAACATGGCCAGGTCGACGGTGTAGTTGATTTTATCATCCAGCTTGCGAACGCTCTGTAAGCAGATGGTTAAAGCTTGACTTTAAAATCGGAATAAACCAGAGTTGAAGTACGAATCACCTTAATTGATGGATATCTGGGATAGACATCTCTAAAGGTCTGTATAGATGTCTCCGGCAGCCAGAATCGCTTGTTCTCCACGTACAAAGATTTCAACAGGATGACAATTAGCTGGGAACGCAAGATGATACCACAGACGCGGCCCTCTGATCGGCGATCCTGTTGAGAAATTAAACATACCTGAGTGAGTATTTTGATATATTGCATATAATACAGGTTGAAAGATGTTTGGAACCAAGAACCGTAATATAATTTTGAAAGTTTTTTAAGCGTCGAATTCAAATATTTTAAAACACGATTTTTGGGTACTTTAAAGTTGCTCTATCTTCAATGTTCTTTTTTTCTAAATCGTTACATCTGAAAGAATAGTAGTCCTAAAAATAATATTTGAAAAAATTTTGAAATATTGTTAATCTCTTAAATATATATATCAATATAAATTCAAATCACGATATCTCAAAGATCCATAAAGATTTTAACAAATTTTAAAAACTAATTTAAAGGTCAAGAATAATACTTTATAATAAAGTAATGATCCGTTTGAATAAAAACAAGAAAGAAAGCTAACTTTGGCCAGCCAAAGTTTGTATACTCTTGCAGGTAACAATTAAAATATATCATAACTAAGCCAAAAATTCATTAATTTCGATTCGGAAAGCAGTTTTGTGTTAGTTTTTATTAATTTAAAAAAACTGCATACCAAATTTAAAATTTTAAGAAATCAAAATTTTTGGCCATTTTTGCTTATTTTAATGATGTAACCCCTTATAAAATTTCGCAAAAATGGCCAAAAAATCGATTTCTTCCGGACATGTCTAGAAAGATTCCCCTGTTGATGCTGATCAAGAATATATATACTTTATAGGGTCGGAAACGTCTCCTTCACTGCGTTGCAAACTTCTGACTGAAATTATAATACCCTGCAAGGGTATAAAAACAGATCGTATTGAATTTACAGAACCTTAAAAGTGCAAAAAATAGTATTTGTTGCACTTTTAAGATGGAAATTTTGTTGCCTAGTGTAATAGCATATAAACTCACGCCGATCACATTATCCACAACGGGGAATCCATTGTGGTCGCACTTCTTCAGCACCTTGTATATGTAGTGGGCGCTATCACGAAGCTTGATGCAAACCACAGGACTACTCAGAATTTCTTTGGCTGTCAGACCCTTGTACTGGGGCAGCGGTTCCCAGGGCAGCATGGGCACATGATTCACTTGGATTTGGGTGTCATATATACCCTCGTTGAAGTAGTCACCGACCCATTTGGCGCTGATCAAAGCTATGATGAGCGGGAAGAAGAAGGAGCTTTCGATGCCGGTGGTCTCCATCAGGATAACCGACAAGCTGATGGTCATGCGAAGTACTCCGCCCAAATTGGCAGCAGCTCCGATCAGAGCGTATTTACCAGGATGCAGGAATTCCTAAAATTGGAAACAGGTTGTTAATTTCTCAGGTAAAAAGAAACACCTTTCAAACGTACCGCCTCCGGGAACAGATAGAAGGTAACCATAGCCAGAAGACGACCCCAGGCTGCACCGACCAGAGCAGTGGGAATAAACACACCCAAGGAGACATTTAGGCCAAAGGTGGCGCAAGACAAAACATAATAAACGACAGTGAACATGGCCAAGGTGAGGATTTTGTGGGATCCTGAAATTAATTAAGGGATTTAAAATATGCATTGTTATAATTATTCCCTTTTACTCACCTGGAGGATCGTGAAACAGCGATCGGACCGTTGCCTCTGGCGTTTGAAACCACAGGGCAGCCACAGCGTTATACTCATTATCCTCGCAGAAAAGCTGAACGGGATGTATGGTTGGATCGTTGCCCAGTGGCCGGCAATCGTTGATGAAGTAGATCATCAGGCAAGCCAGTGTTACGCCCAACATGGCCACCACAACGGCTTCAATGACCTTGGCAAACTTCCAGGGGATAAAGCGTTTCCTGAAGTTATTGATCTTGGTATTCAGCGAGTTCCAGGCGGCTCCAAGCAGCCCACCCGTCACACCCAGGATCATGAAGATCGGCAGCTCAAAGTAGTCGAACTTTAGCGGTTGATCGAACTTTCCCAAATTAAAGAGACCCGTGAAAGTGAAATCGTTTAGGCCATGATATGCCGATAGGACTATGTTCAGGGTAAACACACTGATAATGGAGGCTACCAAAGTGCGCCAAATGAGATTCTGGTTCCAGAAGCTGGCCGCCTCTTCCAGCGAGAAGAGCATTCCACCGATGGGGGCTCCGAAGGCAGCTGAAACTCCGGCAGCTCCGCCTCCCAGGACAAAATCCCGCTTTTCGTGATCATCACGGAAGGCCTTAAATACGCGGAAATCCTTAACAAACGTGGTGCTCTTGCCCTGCGAGATGCCGGCAGCCACCACGGCGCCAGCATGAATCATTGGACCCTCCTTTCCGCCGGCCAAACCGCCCACCACGGATGTTATCACGCCGATGGCTTTCACCGCCAGCGTTTTAATGCGAACAATTCGCGGAATTTTAACACCATTTAGATAGCTCTTCACCTGCGGAATTCCACTGCCGGCGGTTATGGGCTCGATGTAGGTGACCATGGCAGCTCCAAAGGCCACTGGCAGGATGCTCAACAAGATCCAGTAGAGGAAGGGAATCACTAGATCGCGACCGGTGGCATCACTAAGAGGAACGTTATCGGCGACGGCTGGAATTAAGAATAGGAAATGGATTAAATAAGAAAACATTATCTTCCAGATGTACATACACTCTTTGAGGAAGTTGTACTTTAGTTCCGACAGCTCTTCAATGATTATATCTATGGTACAGGCTATAAGGGCCGTGATAATGCCAATCTGGATGAAGATTATCCAACGGATGACGTCCTTGCGCAGAGAGAAACGTTCCCTCAGCCGTCTGCGCTGCTCTTCTTGGAACAGCGTGTTCTCGCAAACTTCATAGTCCAAGCTCTGTAAAGTTAAAGATAAGGCCTCCCGATCAGTCACTAATCCTCTCTGCTGCCGCCCACAAATACAGACCTCGTAATTGGGCGTGGAAGCCGCTGCAGTGCGGGATCGTAGATGAAAAATGGGCTCGGAATCATTGATGTGGTTCCTTGCATTGCCTGCACTGCCGTTTATTGTCTAAAAGGCAATTAAATTTAATTACTAATATAGGTACTTAGTCGTCTAGAGATAAGCTCCACTCGGAGAACACAAAAGCTGATTAGTCATTGGTGGTTGAATCTAGTTTTAAACTTACATTAACTGGGGGAGGCGGACCATTGTGTTCTAATAAGGACGGCAGATCGTCTGCCAGCAAGTTTTGGTTATTCCCCGAAATATGCGCTGCTCCGTTTGCGGAGCTGGTTGTGGGCATCTCTTCGCTTCGGTTTTCGCCGAAAGTTTCGATGGGCTTTGCCGGTATACTTATTGGCACAACCGGATCTTCATCCTCGCTAGTTTCATCGTCCAAGCGAATTAAAGTCCTTTTATCGTCCATTATTTAAAACAATAATGACGAAACAGAGGCAAACACACAACAAAATAAAAAGAGAACAAAGCCAAGTACAGTATGACCATCCGTGGTCAGCTATGAAATCTCTAGAGTGTGGCCAAAGTCTTTGGCACTCAGCCGCAGCTTTTGAAAAATTCAAATTAACGAATACATTTAACTGGATTTAAGCCAATTTATTTCTAAGAAAAGGCAGTAAGGAATCGTTAGTTTACATAGATGCTTTCTTAGGGTGTACCTTCTTCTAATCTATAAAGTGGGCTCAAAGTGAAAGTTTGGGTTGAGATACTTGAACTTGGCCGCCTCCAGCAGCAAGCGATTGTGCTCGATACGGTTGCGACAGTGCAGCTCCTGCCCAATTGCGGCCATTGTGCGATCCAGGCGCTGCAGGAGATCCCGCTGTGGTTGCTCCATGAAATGGGTCAGCGACACCGATTGTGTGACGGCCCCGGTGCTCGTGTACTCCATGGAATTATCCTCCAGCGAGGATAGCGAGCTACTCGACTTGCTCTCGCTGGCCAGGGATGGAGCGCGCCGCAAGTCAATGGCCACCGGTTGTTCTACCGAAAAAGAGGAGGAGGCGCTCTGCTGTTCTGGCTTGATGGGCGTCAAAAGGGGGACAGGTGGTGTAGGATTGCTAATGGGAGCCACAGACATAATTGAGCGCTGAAAAGAGATGTGTTTTCTTAGTAATATTTACATAACTATACAATTTTTATAATGAAATGAACTTTTCCCGTGAAAACTTTAGCAAATAATAATTAAAAAATAAGAAATTGTCTTTTAATTTTGTTAACCTTTTTTTTCTACTTACATCCTGCAGCAGAAAACCAATGCTGTTGGCAGTAATATTTGGGGAATTGACTTTGTCGCTGTTATCTGAAGTCGAATCTCCGGACTAGAAAGAGATAGATATGTATATATACACACACGTATACATATATGGATGTCAATGCACAAATACATGAAAAGCTGCACAGAAAAAGTTCTGTTTCATTGAGCTATTTCGTCGTCCATGCAGATACTGTATATAAAGTGGCGCTGATCTAACGGTAACTGCAAGGTGGTGCTCACTTGTCCCACTCCCACGCTTACCGATCTTGTGGCTGCGCCCTGTTGCTCCTGCTTGTGCCGCTGGAACACCGTTTTAATTTTCAATTCGTGAGTCCCAGTTCCTACACCCACCGGAGTCGTAAGCTCCACCAATTGCGGCGGAGTCTGCGCAGCCGTGGTCGGCGGCGGTGTTGTGGCCTTCTTTCGCTCCTTGACGCAACGTCGGTTCTTCATAATGCGATCACGGCGCTCCTCCAAAGCAGCAACCTTCATTTCGTGCAACTTTCCAAGAAGGGAACTGTGTCGCCGCTGGTCAGGGGAACACGAAAAGTGGAAAAAAAGCCCTAGCAATCCGTAAAATGCCAGTGGCCTACCTTGATGTGCATGTGAAAATTCCCGGTGGAACGCACGCTGCCGCGATAAATCCGATCCGGCGGACAGTAGCAGCACTTGACCGTGACGTTATCCCCCACCTGGTTCTCTATGCGATACAGCTCCCCGTTGAGAATGTAAGGCACATGCTGGCGCCTGTCCGGCTCCTCATTATTGGCCTTCTTCGCGTCGGACCCGTTCGCGGACATTTTTAAGCTTCAAAAAGTCGACTGCACTTTCGGAGATTTGCGAACGAAAAGAACAGGGGTCGAGGCAGAGGAAGAGATACAGATTCTGTTCGCAAAGTTCTCGGCGCAAGGAACAAACGGAATGAGAGAGCAAGGAAAAAGCAACGGTACTTGGCAAAACGAAGATAGATAGATGGGAGACAAAAAGGCCTTTATGCACGTCGGTGAAGCTAGACCAATTCAAAGTAGTTGAATCTGGGTGGTACTAAAGTAATTAAAGTAGTAAGTAGATTATTTGATTTAATATTAGGTTACCTTTTTTTTAGAAAGCAAGTTAGCATTTAAAAGTTCTCTGCTTTTTGCGCCATGGAAGCAGAATACATGTAAATAAAAGAACACTCAGGTTGGCAGCTCTAAAATGACACGAGTTGGCAAACGAAAAGTGGCAGCACCTCGTGCCAAAAATATCGAATACGGAAAATAAACAATTCCATCAGCTGCACGTGTAGTCGTCGTTGCACATTTAATAACAAAACAGTTTACTGCAAAGGAATTTGGCATAATTCTAAATAATTTAGCAACATGGAACAGTCACCAGATACAGAGCCAAATATTTTAATAACAGGTGTGTGTACATGCTAGCCGCCAGCTCTTTAGTTTATTAATAAATGTATTATTTTTAAGGCACTCCTGGAGCTGGCAAATCATACCTGTGCGAACGCCTGGCCGAACAACTGAAATTCAACTGGCTGGACTGCTCGAAAATTGCCAAGGACAATAACTTTGTGGAGGAGCACGACGATGAGTTCGACTGTCCCATTCTGGATGAGGAAAAGGTGAGCCAACTCACACTAGATCAATAAATAATACTAAAAATGTGTAAATATTTAGCTAATGGATCACCTGGAACCCCTGATGGCGAAGGGCGGCAACATTGTGGAGTATCACGGCTGTGATTTTTTCCCAGAACGCTGGTTCGAGGCCGTTTTCGTGGTCACCTGCCCCAACACCGTATTGTACGATCGCCTTAAGGATCGCAACTACAACGAAAGGAAGCTCACATCAAACATTGAGTGTGAAATATTTGGAACCATTCTGGAAGAGGCCTATGATTCCTACAAAGAGGATAAGGTCTTCAAGCTCTCCGGTGAAACAAAGGCGGATGCCGACAAAAGCCTGAAGACAGTGAAGAATTGGTATCGAATGTACAAAAGAAAATAAAGGCTTTGTAAAATAGAAGGTAAAATCTTGGCTGATATATTTGTTAACTATTTTATTTACAACAAACTAGAAGGTGTAAAATATGTATAAACCTAAAGCTAAACTCTCGTCATCTTGAATCGAAGTGGTCCATCTGGCGCATACATGAAGGTTACGGCGTAATCCAGGGGCTTGTGATTGTATTCCAGCTTATAGTTGCGCAGCAACTTGGCCAGCAATATCTGCATCTCCAGATCGGCGAACCGACGACCCAGGCACATCCGCGCTCCATAGCCGTAGGGCAGCGATGCAAACGGATGCAATTTGCCGGGCACTCCGCCGTGTTGGGGCTTCAGCCACCTCTCTGGCCGGAAGGTGGCTGCATCTGTTACATACTCCTCCATATTGCCTGTGACAATGGTAGGGAAGACGGCCTGGACACCCTTGGGCACCTGGTAGCCACAAATCACGCTGTCCTCCATCAAGGTGCGACCATTGCCAATCACCGTGCTGTACATGCGGAACACCTCCTTGATGAAGGCCTTTAGGTGGTGCATTTGATCGAGCAAAGGAATGGTCAGCGGTGTGTTGGCATCTGGCAGCAGACGCTTCAGCTCCTCGTGCACCTTTTGCTGCTCCTCGGGGCGAGTGGCCAGTTGATAGAGCATCGAACACACAGCCATGGATATCTGGAAATGAGTACTCAATGGGATTTCTTCGTGATTATATAGATTCATTTAGACTTACAGTATCTATGCCGACTAGAATTAAATCAAGAGCCATTATTGTGGCTATTTTCTCGTCCTTCTCCGAAAGAATCACCTTCTCCACCAGCGAGGGCTCCCCAGCACGCAGGCTGGGATCCTGGATCTTGAGTCTTTCGGTGGCACTTTGTATGTACTTCATGCAGACTCTAAGGGGTACAACGGAAATTATTTCCTGTATATTATAATAATGAGAGAATATATTTACCCCACAAAGAAGTTCATGTTTTTCACGTAGCGCGTCCACAGTGGAGTGGGAAAGTATCGCCAGTAGGGGGCTTTCAGCTCCAAGGTGGCCACATTGCGCAGGGCATACTTGGCCGCATCGATAATCTGCTGGGGCTCCGAGTCCGGCTTGAGATTCGATTCCAGGCAGCCCAGACGAGTGTCCAGAGCCACGCGACCAATGCCTGATCATAAAATATGGAGAATAATAATTAAAAGTGGAGGATATTCTAAGGATATACTCACATTCCAAAGACCATTTGTGAATCTCATTATCGAAATCCTCGGGCAGTTCTTGGTTTTCATCCAGCAGTTGCTCACAGCGCACCAGGAAGTCCTCTGTGATGACCTCCAGCGGCTGGAGGTAGCGCCTAATAGTGGAGAGCTGCAGCACTGGCTTCTGGACACGCGAACGGAACTGACGCCAGGGTTCGCCATGGCTAAAGGAGGAATAACATTACTCAATGCCTCAGCTAAAGTGACTGCTATACCCACACTCCAACCACTCCTCCTAGCTCCCCAAAGAAGTCCTTGCGCACCACGCTCTTGTACTTGACCAAACTGGGCATCGAGGGCCGGAAGGGAGTGGGTCCCTCGCTTCGGTAGCACTAAAAACATGAAAATGATTGAAAATTCATCAAATTACTGGCATTAAGCAAGTCACCGACAAGTGCCGGGTAATTTTTGTACGGTGCCAGAAATTGATGTAGTGCCTTGGTGCCTTCGTGGTTCGCTGGTCATGCGGAAAGTCCCAGCTACCCACGGTGCTAAGGTGCCGCCGCTTAAGCTTACCTTTTCAATTTCGTCGGCATCGTAGATGAACAATAGATCGGGCCTTCCTATAAGACCTCCAAAACGCACAATTCTGCCGTAACGCTCGTGCAGCAGCGACGATATGTTGGCCACATCGGAGATGGTGTATTGACCAATTATAGGCATCAGTCTAAGGAGGACAAAGTGCGGATTAGTCAAGGTTAGCCAAAGCTTGCTCTATGACAATGAAAGATGCATTGACTTTCTGCCAAAGGCGGGCAAATAGCGATTTGTGAGCAAAATTCGTCAGCGTGCAGCCAAATTTCACACGTTATTATGGTGACCTTGAATCCGCTGCTAATTGAACGCTAATCAAGCGGATGACGTGCTGCCCCACGGATTGTAAGCTCAGGCAAATGAGGGGAGGGAATTATGCAGGTGTAAATTGCCGGAATCCCAAACGCACATTTAACCAGAATCGTTAGAGAATCTCTGCCTTTCGATAAGCTCGTAAATATTTACTTAGCATACTCAACTAGGGAGGGGTAGACGAAGGAAAAACTAGTTTTCAGTGAAGAGTGCGTGTTTCATTTTTGCACACAAAGCCTAAGTCAATAAGCGGTCATAAATACCAACATCATCATCATCGTCGCTAATTCAATAATTGTCGAACAAGAGCCGAAGACTCTTCCTAATTGGGTCAAGTGAAACGGAGAGTGTGGCCTGCACACTGCCATTGCAATTCGTTCGAAGAGAAAGCGAGTTTGTGTCTCGAGTCTTTCGATTTCGATTTATATAGCAGCCGTTGAAAGGGTCTGTGTGTACCTCCAGGTGTTGCCCAGGATGGGTATGGGCTTTGGTCCTGGTATTTGACTGTAGGGCAGGGCATTCTGCCACTCGGCCGTTGAGTGTACGCGGGAGGCACTGGGTTGGGTTTCCTCTTGATCCGCCAGGTGTGGACAGGTGGCTACGCCCGTTGAGCTTTCGCGACGCTTTTCATGTGGCAAGAAGCTGTTGCTGGCTGCCCCACCGATCTTGGACACACTTCGCCGCAGATTCGGTCCCGAGGCTACTGTGGATCGCCAGGCCTGAATGGGAAGTTTGTTCATTTTGGGGCCGTGCGCGAGAGTCAACAACAACAAAAGCCTAGTGATTTATATTCAAATCAGATTTCACTGGTTTTATGCCTCGATTTCCAATTGTCTAAAGCTGTGACGTTGACGGAACGCACACACAGTCGCGGGGCACAGAAAGTAGCGGGAACAGCAATCGAGCTCCACACCGAACGCTGGCACAAACTACACTGGCAGGCCCCCAGCCCCAGCGATCCAAACAAGCTACCTGGCGGCAGGTACCCGAGCTGCCGCTCTGCTGTGCCTCTTTGTCGTTTTCAAAGAGAAAGTGCATACATATGTGCTCTTGACTATTTCGTTATTCGTCCTGAATAAGCTTAGTGAGATATTTCTTGAGAAGGTATATTCTTGATTCCGGGTCTTCTTGATGCCCAAAAAGTCAAAAGTTATGCAAAATGCGAATATTTCATGTTTTTGAGGGCAAAAAGCAGTCTATATTAATTATTAATTATTTATATAATAAAAAAAAAAAACTTTGGTCAATTTTGGAAAATTTAAATTTATTAGAAATTTAACTTAATTTTTTTTTATTAAAAACATTGTAAATTTTTGACAATTTTAACTAATTAGAAAATTGTTAATGATGATTTATTAATCTAATAAAAACTAACTCAAACTTACTTACTCATTTATGATTTAAATTAATTTTTTTTTACTTTCTTAAACATTATAATTTTCAGTTAACGGGGGAAATAAATAATAATTTAAGTCGCAACTAAAGCTAGAGGAATTAAAAATAATTTCAGCAGCCCATCCAAATTTTCGACAATTTCTATGCAATTTGGCCCTTTCTCAAATTGGGGTACCAGGCGAACAGAAACAAGCAGCAAGCAACTGAAAACTGTTATAAAAAGTCCAAGTTTCGAACCATTTAGGAGCAAGCGAAAGTAACGGCTGTTTTCCCAAAATGCAACTCTGGGCAGGCAGCTCAGAGAGGGATAGCAAGTGTACAGAAAAGAAGAGAGCAGACAACACAGAGTTGTATTTTGGGAAAGAAGCCAGGTTTGAGTCTCCGCTGACTTTCGCTTGCTCCCATAAGGTTCGAAACTTGGACTTTTTATAACAGTTTATACCAGTTTTCAGTTGCTTGCTGCTGGTTTCTGTTCGCCTGTTACCCCAATTTGAGAAGCAGGCAAATTGCATGGAAATTTTCGAAAATTTGGATTGCTGCTGTAGGGAGGTTGTTGTAATGGGGTTGTTGTTGCAATCAAATGGCTGTGCCGGCGGTAAAGGGTATAAATGCATAAAATAAAATATAAATGTTTATACCAGTTATATAGTTTATACCAATTATCAATTAAATAAATAAATAAATATTTAAATTAATTATTTTTTATTTTCTTAAATATTATAGTTTTCAGTTAACGGGGAAAATAAATAATAATTTAAGTCGCAACTAAAACTAGGGGAATTAAAAATAATTTCAGCAGCCCATTCAAATTTTCGACAATTTCTATGCAATTTGGCCCTTTCTCAAATTGGGGTACCAGGCGAACAGAAACAAGCAGCAAGCAACTGAAAACTGTTATAAGAAGTCCAAGTTTCGAACCATTTAGGAGCAAGCGAAAGTAACGGCTGTTTTCCCAAAATGCAACTCTGGGCAGGCAGCTCAGAGAGGGATAGCAAGTGTACAGAAAAGAAGAGAGCAGACAACACAGAGTTGTATTTTGGGAAAGAAGCCAGGTTTGAGTCTCCGCTGACTTTCGCTTGCTCCCATAAGGTTCGAAACTTGGACTTTTTATAACAGTTTATACCAGTTTTCAGTTGCTTGCTGCTGGTTTCTGTTCGCCTGTTACCCCAATTTGAGAAGCAGGCAAATTGCATGGAAATTTTCGAAAATTTGGATTGCTGCTGTAGGGATGTTGTTGTAAAATGGTTGTTGTTGCCATAAGCTGCTGTTGTCGGCAACAAATAGGTATAAATGCATAAAATGAAATATAACAGTTTATACCAATTATTATTTTTAGCCCAAATTTTTTTATAACAGTTTATACCAGCTTTCAGTTGCTTGCTTCTGGTTTCTGTTCGCCTGTTACCCCAGTTTGGAAAGTGGCCAATTTGAGTGAAAAGTTTTGCTCACTTGCATCAGTGATGCTCATCTGCATTAGTGATGCTCATCTGCATCAGTGATGCTCATCTGCATCAGTGATGCTCATGTGCATCGGTGATGCTCATCTGCATCAGTGATGCTCTATTGGGACAAAATGCATCTCTTTAACTGCCAGTGATGCTCAACTAGCTATTTTGCATTACTGGGACAAAATGGCAACTCTCTAACTGCCAGTGATGCTCATCTAGCTATTTTGCATTATTGGAACAAAATGGCATCTCACTAACTGTCAGTTACGCTCATCTAGCTTTTTTGCATTATGGGGACAAAATGGAATCTCGCTAACTGCCAGTGATGCTCATCTAGCTATTATGCATTAATAGGACAAAATGGCATCCCACTAACTGCCAGTGATGCTCATATAGCTAGTTTGCATTATTGGGACAAAATGGCATCTTACTAACTGCCAGTGAGCTCATCTAGCTATTTTGAATTTTTTGCATTTATTTCTCACTACCTGTCAGTGATGCTCATCTAGCTATTTTGCATTATTTAGGCAAAATGGAATCTCACTAACTGCCAGTGATGCTGATCTAGCAATTTTGCAATATTTGATGTTTTTTCCATTGTCCACCGCAAGAATGCCCTTCTATTGAGCCTGTTTAAATGATCCCACCAAAAAAAAAACCGCATCCTCCTCATAAGTCAAAAATAACAATTTTTTAAAGGTTTCTTATTTACTTCAGCTTTAAATAAATAAAAGAAGAAAAGGTGAGGTATGTGGAAATGTCGGAGGTCGTTTCCAGTGGTTTCGGCTCGGTCTTGGTGGCACCCTCGTCGTGCTGCCCCAGCACCTGGTCCGCTTCTGCTCCTCCTCGTCCTGATCCTCCTTGCCAACGCTATTTGTCGAGCCATCGGCATCCGCTTTGAGTTCCTGGCAGCTTCCTGCAATTAAATTTAAACAAGAACGAAAGCTAACTTTGGCCAGCCAAATCGACCCTTGCAGGTATGTAACAATTAAAATATATCATAACTAAGCCAAAAATGCATTAATTTCGATTCGGAAAGCAGGTTTGTGTTAGTTTTTATTAATGAAAAAAAACTGCAAACCAAATTTAAAATTTTAAGAAATCAAAATTTTTGGCCATTTTTGCTAATTTTAATGATGTAACCCCTTATCAAATTTCGCAAAAATGGCAAAAAATCGATTTCTTCCGGACATGTCTAGAATGATTCGCATGTTAATGCTGATCAAGAATATATATGGTTTATGGGGTCGGAAATGATTCCTTGACTTAGAAAAATATTATTTTGTATTATAAAATCGGATTTTTTATATTAAAAAACTTCTTAATTTTTTTTAAAAACTCGGCCAAGAGAGCATTAATTTTAATTCGGAAAACTGTTCTGTGCAAGATTTTCTACAGTTAATAAATCTGCATACTTCATTTAAAAATTTTGAAAATTCGATTTTTTATCAAAATCAAAAATTTTAATGATGTAACCCCTTATAAAGTTTTGCAAAAATGGCCAAAAAATCGATTTCTTCCTGACATATCTAGAATGATTCCCCTGTTGATGCTGATCAAGAATATATATACTTTATAGGGTCGGAAACGTCTCCTTCACTGCGTTGCAAACTTCTGACTGAAATTATAATACCCTGCAAGGGTATAAAAATGAAATGCGCTCTTTTTTTAAAAAGCCCGCCATCTGTTTCAGCCCTGGGTCAGCTCGGCAAAAGGTTATCGATCGATTAAGCTGTATTATCGTATATCGATAGTATCGATAGGCCAGCAGAAAGCTTCAAACTTGAAAACATTCCAGAAATTCCGACACAAACACAATACAAGGATAATCGGGACTAAGCAGAACGGAATGGGGGAACGGGCCATAGCCATAGACATTGTTCGGGGCTGGGGCCTGGAGTTCGACGGAACCAGAGATCCAAAGGAATTCATAGACCGAATCGAAGAAACAGCAGCTACTTATGGAATTCGACTCGACCACATTGCAGGATCTATGATGTGTCTCCTAAGGGGAAATGCACTAAATTGGTGGCATGCAAATCCCATACAGATTACGGACTGGAGCACCTTCAAAACCCAGTTGAGTTTTAACTTCATGCCAGATAGACGGACAGGTCAACACCCGTACAAGAGATTGTGGCAAAGGAATAGAGGAAGACAGAACAGACCCTGCGACACATATCAACATAGTGGAGCCCTGACCACACGCATCAATGACCAAAGTTTAATCACGCGCACCGATGAGCTGAGGAACAAGCAGTCTCCACAGCTCCGCACAGACTATTCCCGACAGAAAGAAGATGGTAGGGACATTCCCAACAGAGAGGTTTGGTCGAAAGAACTCACAAATCCGAGCGTGGATACAACAGAGATCCCGCTGGTGATCCAGGAGGAAGCTCGGCTTAAGCTCGCAAAAAGATGGCCAGGCAAGCGGATGAGCTTCAAAAGGAGCGTAGAGGGAAAGCGCTACTATATCAGGATCGGTTGCAAAGGACAAATAATTATTTCACTGCTGATGGACAGTCATACGGAGCAGCCCCCAATGAAAAAACCAGAGCTCCTCGCGGACGAGACTCGACAGCAAGAAGATGTTATGGAGTCTTGGGATGAAGATCTCCCCACAGACTGTCCTGGACAGCAAGAAGATGTTAAGGACAGCCACACCAAAGAGTGTTGGGATGAAGATCTCCTCAAAGACTGTGCTGGACAGCAAGACGATCTTATGGAAATCCACGCAGCAGAAGAGGATCTCCTCACAGACTGTAGTGGACAGCAAGAAGATGTTAAGGACAGTTACACCAAATAGCCTTGGGAAGAAGATCATGCAATTCCGCTAACAAATCCGGGTGAGAAAACGACAGAGATCCCGCAGGTCATTCAGGAGGAAGCTCGCCAAAGGCAGGCCCAAAAACGCATGGGCCAGCAAGTGAGCTACAAAAGAAGCTTCGGGGGAAAGAATTACCTTATCAAGATCGCTCGCAGCGGAAAGTTAAGCATTTTCCAGCGGTAGAAAAAGTTCTGGAAAACTATTAGTATAGTTTAAGTTTTAATTACTCCTGTTATTTTGTTTTATTTTGAATAATTGATGTTCAGTTTAAGTTATTTGATTTATCGTTTGCTTTAGTTTATATTTAAAGTTACTAATACTAATCATAGTTTTATCATTACATTGATAGACAGGAAAAATTACCAAAGGGTTCAACTGAAGCTACTTTTATTTTATATTTTATACTTTGAAAATCCAAAACCAAATGAAGTCTAAGCGAATTAAGCAATTTTGTATTCCCTCTTTCACTGAATAAAGACATTAAGTTTCAGTTAAATAAATATTAACTCGCCTGTGTAATTACTACATCTCGTTACTAATTATATTTTTTCAACCCACTTAAAAAATCAATGAACTTCGGCTTATGGTTCCCTGCTGATTGCTTTAAAATGTCAATCATTATAAAACCAAGCATTTAGTCGTTCGGCAGAGATGGTAGCACTTGTGTCCCTGAGATGGCTTCTGATAGCAGCAGCTATTTTTTTAAGCAGCGAATTCAGGATAAGCGATGGTCGGCGGTCAAAGTCCAGATTTACCAACATGCAGTGCCTATCCTTCAACGAATCCTTCGCCATTTTCACCAAGTGTAGGCTCAATTTACTGGGCAGAGGACGAGCGGGTGCGGAAATGTATTTGAAACTCTTACAACTGCCGGTGAACAATTGTTGGGTGAGGAGCAAGCTATTCTTCTTTAATTTTTCCTTTAAAATATAGATTTATTTTATAAATTATTTGATTATTATATTATAAATTATTTAATCTTTCAGATTAATTGGAGCATATATCGTCGCTACAATGGATTCCGACCATTTTTATATAATGTCAGCACGAATTTCTGCCAGCTCCTGGGAAACTCCAACGTCCTATCTTTCCAAGGACTCGTTATCAATGCCATTATGACCAAGTCCAATTTAAATCACACTTGTCCCTACGATGTGAGTATAAAACAAGAAAGGAAGGTCAGAGATGGCTCCTTCACTGCCTTGCAAACTTCTGACTAAATAGCCTGCAAGGGTAAAAATATATATGTTTTCTCCTTTGTTTATATAGCACGACATCATTTTGGATAATCTGGAGTTTAATGATGAATTCCTGAAAAACCTGCCCTTGCCGCAGGGCAACTACAAAATAGAACTGCGTTTTGCCACCGACAAGGTCTGGAGGGTTCAGGTTACCATGTTCTTTGAACGCGATGAACCTTAGTAAAAAATTTAAAGTAAACCCTGTAGTTATTTCCTTTCACATATTCTTTATATATTTAGCAAATTTCACTTTTGATTACAAAGTTTGACGTTCGATACACATTAAAATTTCACAATTTTCAAATGCATTTCCCTCTGCATTTGTTTTTTTTTTATTGCTGAGTGTAATGAGATTATTGTGCAAAGCATTGTTGAATACAGAGAGCGTTCCATGACGAACAACGCATAAAATTATTAAACTTTCTTGGCAATTAACATTTTGAACACATCAAAATCTTTTAAAAAAGTTTATTTTGTGGCATTAATCAATAGTATTTAGTTGAAATCGTAAATGCTTTGCTGGCTTACAGTCTATAACTTGACTTTATGGCTTAAGTAATTGCGTGGGGCTGGTGTTTGAATGGCACGTATCCAAGTCATGCATGATTGTGAGGGGATAAAAACAAACAGGGGAGAGAACACTTTAAGAGGCGCAAGTCTAGATCGAATTGTTTTTGATTGTTTGTGGGGATTATATAGTAAGTAGCAGTAGAAATACGTTCTTAGGGTCTTTACTAGTATGAAACTTAGCTTAGTTCGCCTATGTATATAGAATGGCATATGTATGTTGGACTTAGACTACGAAATTAAGATGCTGATGCAAGTGTGTGTGGTAAGTATGAAATATGGTGTGTGGCAGTTCAGAGACAGATATCCTGCACAGTGAAGGCTCCTCTTCTTCGTTGAAATCTGTTCCATTTCCTCGTTTTTACACTCTCCCTTCCTTATACGATAATTAACTAGGCTTAGCTGCTATATTTATAGGTATGAATGTGGGTATCTAGACTTACAAAACGTATATGGCGGCTTCGTTCGTATTTACATTAATATATCGCACATTTGATTAACTAAAAACTAAACGGACCTCCCACCGGGTAAGGTAACTTAACTCAATTCAAGTCGGTTGCGGTTCACAAATTCGAGTTAACTCAATATACAAAAAAACAGAAACTAAAAAACAAGTAACATCTATTGTTTGACGATGACTAATACTTTCAGCCGGTTAACACTCGAATTCGTTCGCCGTGATGGCGCTTAGATCCTTCATCAGCCCCTCCAGATTGGCCATCTCCTGGTTGAGCTCCTCGGTGGATGTGCTGGGGGCCAGTCTTTGAATCTCATCGGTTGAGTGGGCCACCGAGCCGCCGCTTTGCAGGCGATTCGGTGTGGCTGCCGAGAACGATGGCTTCTTGTAGGGCGATTGGTTTTGTGGACGTATTGTGACTGCAGGGGCTGTGCAAAAAAATGTTAATTTTAGTAAGGAAAATCAAGAGAGCTCCAAGTGTATATGGTCTACTCACTGTGCTTGTTAATGGGCGTGGCTCCGCCTGTGGGCGGTGGTCCCGGGACACTGAAACTCTTCAGCGGATGCCCGCGCTTGGCACTCTCAATGGTGGACACACAGCCATTGCCGCCAGCTGCTCCGTTGCCCGCATTGCTGGAATACAAAAACGAAGCAAAGCACGCAACAGTTAGAAAGAAGAATAGATTTATTAAAAGACTTTTCAAAATGCTCCTAGCCCAGGGCCAACATTTCGCCGAGACTGCTTTGAACAACAATGGGACAGAGGGAACCCCGCTTTATCACCGGCCGGCTACAGGTGCCCAGAAAGTGCAGCTGCCGCGCCTGCTGGATCAGATGCGCCTTCCGGGCCAGCCGGACGTATGGCTGGCGATCGGCAACGGACATGGCGTTCCACGTGTAGGCCGCCAGCTCGGTAACGGTGGCCGCGGTGCGCATGCTGTAGACGCCCTTGTAATGATGGTTTATCAGTATCTCGTCCAAGCGGAACTTGTTCATAAAGTTGAGAAACGGCGACGTCGATGCCATAAGCAGCAGCTGCCTTTCCACCCGTCGCGGCAGCGTTGTCCGATTAAGCCTGATCACTCTGCCCGTCGTCCCATGCACCAATGTGACCTGGATGCTGGGATCGATCCGCCCCCAACGTGTCCGCGAACACATTCTAGCTTCTAAGTCTGGCTGTTAACAGCAGCTTACGGTTTTGCCAAAAGAAAACAAAAATTAAAATAGAAAATAAAATCGAGGGGACCTTTTTTTGTTGAATTTTGTTGAATGTCTAGCACCAAACTGTCAAAAAGCTGAAAACGAAAGCACCGCCCACTAGAGCGGGAAAAATCGATTATGCATCGATATTTTTCGATATATCAATCAAGTTCCATTAACCACTCGTTTTTCCAGGTAAAAACAAGCTTATTTATAGTTTAAGGCACATCGATTCTTTCAAAACAGAATCGATGGATCTACCAAAATAGAAGGATTCGATGTTGACATCGATTTATTCCCTTTTCTACCCCCCATTTAACTCACCAGAAATTGGCATCGTAGCCGCCGTAGGGATGCTCAGGCGTCTGGGCCATCGAGCTGCTCTGCGGCTGGGTGAGGCTCTGCTGGGACAGGCCTGCCTCCATGGTCATGTGGGAACGGTTCTGGTGGCTGTATTGAGTGCGTGGATACTGCGGTCGCTCCATTGTTCCGTTCATCGAGGTGGCTGTGAAGGGAATACAGATAATGTAGTTATAGGCCTGCTTCGGCTGCTTCTCCTGCTGCTACTCACTCATATAACCCGGCACGTAGGAACGCTTGTCTAACGAATTGGTCACATGAGGTGGAACTGGTGTCTCCACCTCGTATTCGCTGTGAACCACCGAACGTGGCAGAGTCAGAGCACCGCTGCTAGAAGCTCCATCGCTGCAAACAGGCGTCACGGTGTGCAAGCCCTTGTCGATGTTTTTCAGCTCCATTTGGTCATGGTGTATCCAGAGATCTGGTGGCTTTGGTACCCCAACATTGTTCTTTTGGTAACTGAAAGCGAAGTAAACATAGAAATAAGTAAACATATCATGGGTTAAGCTAGGTGGTCCCACCTCTTCTTGGTATGCTCAGGCGAAGATTGCGGCTTGCGCCGGCAGAGCAGCAGTATACCCAAGAGCACCACCACTAACACCACAGCAGTGGCTCCTACAATGATGTACAGCAGCTTCTCGTTGTCAATTCCCTTGGCTATGGTGTCCGCCTCCTGCATTATGACCGCCGCACTGGTGGTGTAAGACACCAGCGCCGAGAATGGAGCATTGTTGTTGCCCTTGGTTGTCCGTGCCTGCACCTTGAAGTAATAGGTGGTGTAGGGCTTTAGATTAGGCAGCATCAGCGAGGTTTCCTCTCCGGCAAAAGCCTCTATGGACCAGTCCCTGTCTCGCTTTGTGGTGTCCGTGGTGTAGTAAATGTTATAGCCAGTGATCTGACCCACTGTGTGCTTTGGCGGCATCCACTGGATGATAACTGTGGGCGGATTTTGCTCGTCCAGGCGTACAGTGACCTCGCGGGGCGGCGTAACCGGCACATTTTGATGCGTCTGGTTCAGCACGGACATGGACCAGGACGACTCCCGGCGACCCTTCACTACCTTCACGGCAAATTCGTACTGCGTATTGGGCCGCAGATCGTTGATCATGCAGTTGAGATCGGTGGTGTTATGGTAGCGATACCGACTGGATCCCGTGATGCCATAGCTGACCGTGTAGTGACGATTGTCCGTCACATGCTGGTTCTTGTTCAGCATCGTGTCAATCCAGTAGACCACAATGGAGGAGCTGGACATGGTGATGGCGCGCAGTCCCACAGGCACCTCCAGCGGCGTGGGTGCATCCACAGGCTCCTCGTCGCGGGTCTTTATGTTATCGTAGATGGGTACGCCGTCACCCTTAACGTTTCGCGCCCGCAAGGAAACCACATATTCCATATTGGGTTCCAGGTTCTTGAGAATATGATAGCGTTCCGTTTCCTTCAGTTCGATGGTGTTCTCATCGGGAATGCCGCGACCCCAGCCCAGCACGTAGTTACGTATCTTGATCTCCGGCTGCTGCGGGGGACCCCAGTGGAGCGCTATGTTGTCTGCTCCTGGGTGAATATTAATCCAAATCGGTTTGCCCGGCACCTGGGTCTCGTCGAGATCGTTTTCCAGGGTGTTGGCACGATGCCACTCTGTAAAGGGTCCCGAACCGTTGACCGTCATGGCCGCAATCTTCACCTGGTACTCGGCATTGCGATCCAGGCTGCTCAGCTCGAAGTAACGAATATTTGCCGGTGTGCTCTTCACCTGGGGAGCGTCCTTGTACTTGCGATAGCGAATCTTGTAGCCAGTTATTTGTCCATTACGATCCTCCTCCGCCGGTGGCTCCCAATGCACAGTTATAGACTGTTTAAAGGTAATTACTATAAGCTTTTGTTTATAATTTTTGTTTATATACTTACGCTTGAGCTGGTTACTTCTAGGGTGACATTATTGGGCGGCTCTGAGGGCGTGGAAGAGAATGTCTTCACCCGAATCTCCGACGACGGATCCCCCATTCCATTCCTATTGAAGGGCACCACCGAGATCACATAGTCCGTGTGTGGACGCAGCTCTGTGAGCAAGGCAAACATGGTGGTGCTGTCGTGATACAAATCAGCGCCGCTATCGTTCTGTAAGGATTAAAATTGAGTATATTTGAAGGACACAAAAGTGTTTCAATCTCACCTCTGAATAGTAAACGCGATACTTGAGTATCTCCCCATTGGTCACTGCCGGCTCCTCCCAACGCACATAAATCTCCTTGTGACTGCGGGCATAGCCCTCGAAGCTGCGCGGTGGCCCAGCAATGTTCACCTCCGGCTGCGTGCTGACCTCCAGTGGAGCAGAGGATTCACCGCTGCCGAAATTTGTATTGGCCACCACACGGAACTGGTAGGTTCTGCCTGGCAATAGAGACTGAATGTTGACCTGTTGATCGTCATGCGATTTGGTAACCATTTTTTGTTCCCTGGAAATAGTTTTTATTAATTATTTATATGAGGGACTTCAGAGACAATATAGTAATAAGATGCGTAATAGCCATACATAATTTGCAGTTTCTGAATAAAATTTAGCATGAAAGCGAGTAAAAATATAATTTCAGCTTGGAAAATTCAAGCAAAAATATAAGTGAAGAGAAATGAAATGTTCTTATCCAACAGGAAGTTAATACGAATCCTTTATTTTAGCTATGTTAATATAAATACGAAATTTTCTTAAAGATATAGGAGAGTATATTCCGGTTTTTGGTTCTAAATGTAATCATAAATGCTTTAATATCTTTAGACATTAATTGACTTCCTCATCTACTACTCCAGGACATTTTGCTTTTGCCTGAAATTGAGTTCCCTGAGTAATTGGTGGTCAGGAAGCAACCACAGGATGCCAGCCAGACAGGCAGACATTCCTATTGAATTGAATGCGAAATCATTTCCGCTTGGCTGACGAGATGAACCCAGCTATTAGGCGATTGGCAAACTATGCAAATGGGTTTAATCTCTGCTAATTTCCGGGTTAATGAAGCGCATACCAATATTACATTCGATTTCACTCACCTCTCGCTGTTGTTCATCTTGTAGAAGACCGTGTAGTAGACCACTTCGCCGGCATTCTGGAGGGGCTCCACCCAGCTGAGGGTCACAAAGCGTGGCTTCACTATCTGGGCCACAAGATCACGCGGCTGGCTGGGCAGCCTGGCTTGGAGTCCACTGCTTAGGGGTTTACCGGCACCGGAGGAACTTGCTGCACTGGAATCCTGTTCGGGGGAATCTGGGGAAGCAGGGAAGGATTTTTTTTGCTGCTGCTGCTGGGATTTCTTGATCTTGCTCTCCTGCCAGTTGTCCAGTATTTTCTGTGGATCCTCGCCTTTCTTGTACGCCGCCTGGGCAGCAGCAATGGCCGCGGGATCGTCATCGTCATAGTTATCGTCATTGTCGTCATCGTCCTCGTAACTCTGGGCACTCTCCTTCCTCAGAGCACTCGCTGCGTTCATAATCTCAAACCGGCGATCGTTGAGCGGTTGCATCCTTATGCGAGTCGTACTAGAATCGTCGTCGTCGTCGTTGTCCAGGTCATCGTCATCGTCTTCGTTTGAAAAGCGGAGACTGCCACCGGACTTGGTACGCAGCTGCTCACCAGAATTAAATGGTTTGCGTCGCTTGGTGGGATTGTCTAAGGTCTGCAGGGATTTGGTGGACTGGCCTTGGTTTTTACGTTTTTTGATTTTCACTTTGGGATTGGGATTTGAAGGGATGAGGGATATGGTTTGTGGGGTGGTGATGTCGAATGGAAATGAGGCAGGGATAAAGAAAAAAGAAAGAACAAACGAAAATAAACAATAAAGTTAATAAATAATATTCGAAATTAATAAAATGTATGACAAAAGGATTAATCCTTTTTGTAATTTATAGAAATTTCTTTTGTGGCTCATAGACTATTAAACAGTTAATTAATAATTTATGATGGGTAATTGTGGGGTTTTATGATATACTTAATAATAAAGAAGAGGAAAAACTACTTTTATTCAAATTTATATATTTTAAACTGGGACTTTGTTATTTTTTTGTATTAAATAACGTATTTTTTTGCCACAAAAGAGATTTCCATAATTGGCAATAAATTAACTTGATTAATATAATTTATATATAATATATATACAAACAATACACACATAGACACATACAAAGAAATATTATGTTACAAAAGCAGGATAATAAATGAAGGGAATTTTTTTTGTACAAGTGAAGTCTAGTTAATCGGGTTTGTAATAGTTAGCCATAAAATTTCGTTGGGTCATTTTACAGAGAGGCTTTAGAGAGCCAGAGAGACAGAGCAGCGCCAATTGCAGAAGCTGGACAGATACTGGACACTGAGAGAGCTACGGACTACTTACTACCAGGGATTTCAGGGATTCTACTCACCTCCTTGTGGCACCACCCGCAGACGGGCTGCAGCATGGACACTGCCGGCGGCATTGGTGCCCACGCACTGGAACATTCCGGCATCGGAGTTGAGCAGGCCCAGGATCTTCAAGTTGTGACCATCCACCAGTTGCATGTAGTCGTTGGGCGTGATGAGATCACCGTTCTTCAGCCACTTAATGGTGGGCTTGGGCTTACCCCAGATGTCGCACTTCAGCTCTGGTTCGTCTTTCTCATGAGCGGTGGTATCCTTGGGCGCCTTGATGAACTTGGGCGGCTCCTGGACCTGCATTGTGGCCTGGGCATCCAAAGAGTCCACAGTATTGCTAGCCCGGCACTGGTAGTTCCCTGAATCTATGTCCTCGGCGCTGGAGATTTGCAGCGAGCCAGTTCCAATGATGGAGAAGCGCGAATCCAGATCGTTAAGATCCAAGTCCACACCATTGCGCAGCCATTTAATCTGCGGCTTGGGCACTCCGTTGGCCACACAGTCCAGGGTGACCGTGTCGCCCTCGCGCACAGTTTTGGGTGAAGGTCCCACGAGAAACGAGGGCGCCACTGCATTCTCCGCCCCCGGCTCGGTGCCCTTCTTGATGTTCAGATTGGTCTTGCTGCTCAGCCGGGACAGGCTGCCGGAGGTGACGTTGCATTGGTAGGAGCCGCGGTCCGCCGCATTGACCTCATCAATCTCCAGGGCTCCGTTGGGCAGGACCACCATGCGCAGCTTGTCCAGCGGCAGCGGCAGGTCATCCTTGAACCACTGCACTGTGTGCTTGACACCCTCCTGCCAACTGGATTCACCCACCATACACCGGAAGTAGGCCGTCTGTCCGGGCAAAAGATAGGTCTCCAGAAAGTCTTGATTCAGATCCGGCTGCCGGGCAATGGCCACCAGAGCCGGACGACTGAGCACACTGCCCACGCCGTCGGCACTCAACAGACACTGATAGGCGCCCGTCAATCCACGATTCTCCTCCACAGAGCTGATGTACAGGGATCCGTTCTTCAACTGCGTTCGCAACGTGTCACCCACTATGACCAGGTCCTGGCCATCGGGTCCTCGCCACCGTATAGTCACGGGAGCGGGCGAGTTGGCCTTTCCCTTGGCTCCGCGTCCCAGGGTGGCACTGCCCGAGCACTGCAGCAGCACTGAGTGGCCCTCGGGCACCACGGCATCCTGCGGCTCCAAGGTGAACGAGAGGGCTGAAATGGAAGGAGAGAGAGTTGGAAAATTAATAAACTGCAAGAAAAACTTTACAACCTAAATGATGAATATATAAAATACCAGGATTTTTCCCATAAAACCATTCCTTGCCCTTTTTCACCGTGTATTCTTGCCTGAATCGAGGCTTATGCTCAAGTTAACCCCCCAGTTTACCGGCGTGTGCCTCCACTCGAGAACCGGCAGCTTCTGCAATCTGTCAACTTGTAAACATGCCTGAATAATTGAAGCTACAAAGGCCAACTCCCTCTCGGCCGGAATGCAGCAGCAGCAGCAGCCGGAGGAGCGGGGCTCGAAAGCAAAGGGGTTGCCGGAGGCACGCAAATATTTGCATTTCCACTTTGGCCCCGACTCGGCGGGGGTGTTGGGTGGACGAGATGGAGATGCCTGCCAATGAATAACCTAACATGCCTGAAAGAAAAATCGAGTATCGCAAGGAACTCGTTGTGCTCGGTATCCTCAAAGGGATGAGCCGATGCGGGGGATAAGGTTTAAATAGGTAGAACCATTTTCACAATCTAGAAGAGGCTCTGGCACTTTTGGGTTATTAAAAGCTAAGATGGGTATTTTAGGATTATTAACTATAATTAGTGACTATAATTTATATATTAAATATAAATTTTATAAATATTTTCAGTTAAACATGTTGAAAATGTGAAAAGTTTACTGATCTGCTTCTCCTTTTGCCCTTGTCCCGTTTAAGTGGGTTTATTGGGATTATATAAAGCAGATGAGAACTCTATAAACTTTTAAACTTGTAAAAACGTAATAATATTTAATAAAAATAAATCCTATTTAGCTTTTTTAGGGTACTATATCTTTACCTATTTCATTTTGCATCCCTGTGTATTCCAAACATAAATAAAAACAGAATCCCACCCTTAATTTCCGCGCTCATCACTGACTTTACAGCATAAATTATGTATAAAATAGGAGCAGCCTTAATTAGGCATCGAGAAAGGCCCGGAAAAACCAGCCAGAGTTTAAAAGAAGCCTATAGGTTAAGTGATTCCTGGGGGATGCTGCTCGAATGATGACTTAATTTACAAGATTTATCCAGCTGTGCAAATGACTTTGGCATCATGAATTACACATTACATTACATTTCAATTCAATTCGGGCTGCCTCCAAAGTACAAGGATGCAGAGTGCAGAATTCTGAGTGCACCTGCTAGCTCTCATTTCCATTTTTCTCCAGCCACCGGCCAGTAGGAACCGCATTTTGTGCCCACTGACCGGACGTGAACTCACGCTCCACTCCTTGCCTGAATTTCTGGGCAAGACTCGTGGATAAGTAGGTATGCCTGCAATTTATTCGCTTTGTTTCCGCCTCCGTCGCGCTTCAAACTTTAACCAGAGTTATGCGAACCGTGTGCAGTTGTTGGCCTTAGCCATATTAACCCGACCCAACTCTATTAGGGTAAACTACTCACTGGACCTGCTAGGCACCGCTCCCGAGTGAGACTGAGTGAGTGAGTGTGCGCCTTGTATTTCAATTTTTATTTGAACATTTGAGTCTCGACGTGTGGCTTTTATGGTTATTGCTTTTCGGGGGTCTCGGTCTTGGTCTTGGTTTTGATCTGGGTGGAGCAAGAACCTCAACTGTTTTACCACATTTCACTTGATGAAAGTGTTTGTTTTTTTTTTAAACACTTCCTCGCTCTCCTGTGTACCTGTGTTTTATAGCCAGCTTTTAGGAGCTGTTAAGACAGACCTGCCTGCATAAACACAAGAAACGAGCGAGTAATTGATCCATATAATTTACTATATCTCCTTTATATATATTATTCCCCTTTTTAAACCCTCAACTGTCAGCTGTCGTTTGATGGACGTTTGCTGACCCGTTTTCAAGGTGAACTCCTCAGCTGAAAGAAATCTAGAGTTTCGTTTTGAGGATTCGGATGAATTCACTTTCCAGGCAGCTGCAGTTTAATTTCAATGGCTACCTGCACTTTTCACCCCTTCTACTGACACTTTTTTATATATATATAGTAAATATACAGCTCAATTTCGGGACAGAGACCCGCATTATATGCGTTACGGGGTTGCTGTTTATTCCAAGTACTTTTTTAGAATATTAAATAATTATGCAGGAGATCATTTCGAGCCGTTAAAGCTGGCATTCGGCTCTAAATCGAATGGAGACATCTTGTTACAATCCAGCGTTTTTTACGGCCAGGCAGCAGGGAGCTGAATCCAATTAAAAACTTTATTGCCCGAATTGATTTTTATTGTGCGCTTCTTTGGCAGCCGAGATAAATAGAGAAAGGGAGGGACATAGAGATAGCAGAGACGCCGCCACCGCCGCCGCCGCCGCCGGGATGGATACAATTTCGAAAGTCCGCCAATGGGAAAGAGGTTATCATCCGGCTGGCTTCCAAAAAAATTGTGTCAATTGATTTTATTTTTCTCTTTCATTTTCGGTTTTTAGTGCCCGTCGTCGTCGTCGTCGTCTGTTTGCTGCATCTCTGGTTATCAATCGTATAGTTTTAATTATGACACGAGGGCGGGGAAATGGGGGAAATTCCACACACCCACGCATTCGTTTGTAAAAAATCCATAATGTATAATTAATAAATTGAACCAATTATATACAAAAAAGACTCGATTTGAAGTGGCATTTCATTAAAACGCTAATTGCACCGAGATATTAATTTGTGTTTTCTGGCTTCATGAAAGCGCAATTAATTTGGAATCATTCTTTTGGCTTTAATTTAATTAAATGCAATATTATTTGCGGACTCTCCTACTCACTCTTTGGTTTAAATCGGTGATTAACAAAGAATTTCTCTGACCATACTCTGCAGGCACAGTTTTTCAGAAAATGTAAGCAAAGTCAAAGCTTTTTTTAGAGTTAAAATACAAGTTTTATATTCAAAGCTAGTTATTATGCCACACTACAAAATATGCTTGCTATTTTATCTCATATCTAGCCACTTTTATATATATTTCTCACTCACAAGAATGCAATTCTAGTTTCCACATTTTTTGCCTGGCCTGCTTCAAACCAAAGTGCATGGCAATTACAAATTTTCCCTTGGACGTTTTATGCAAATGCAATCCTTGGTGCATGCAAATTCGTCTGCCATTAAATACAGTCAGGCCTCTAGAGCCTAGGCATTGCACCAGGATATCAAGGAATATTTTCAGCTTGCAACTGCAGCTCGGTTGGTGGCACTTTCTCTGAACGAACATGGTGCTGTTTTTTTGTTTTTTTATACATTTTGTAAAACTGTTGTGGCCTTTGTCTGCTTCAGCAAGAACACAGAAAACCAGGAACCAGAAACAAAACAAAAACCCTTTTTGCGTTATTTGTATTGCTCACCCGACTCAACAGCCCCAAACCCCAAGCAATATTGGGTTTTTTCTACCCTTTTTGTTGGCGGGCAAATTAAAAAAAATAATATAAACACAATTTTAAAGTTGCTTTAACAGCTCTGCAAAAAAAAAAGAACGGAAAATGATTCGCTTTAATTGAGTAAACATTTTGTACAAATTTTGTTTTTCAATTGAGTTTGCCATTTCCCGTAATTACGCTGAACGCGTTCATTGAATCAAATTAAACAATTATAATTTAGTCAGATTTGTGCGTTCGTTTTCCTAGAAATTCCACTTTAAAAATGGGCAACTCTCCGCCGCGCCAGCGAGGAAGGAGAAATGGGGAAAAATGCCTTAATTGAGTTTAATTGTTGTAGCGGACCTACAAAATCAACTCGACCAGTCACGCAGCAGGCATTTACATAAGATTAACAGCAAACAAAAAGGAACAAAAAAAAAAAAAATTAAAAATACAAACAAGAAAAAAAAATGAATTTGATGCACTTTGTTGCGAGTCAAAAGTGATCCAAAATCGAGGGAGAGAGTGGGGGAATCAGTCCATTTAGCTCTTGCCAGCATGAATATTTATGATATTCCAATGAATTTGCATATTTTACGATTTTTCATTTGCAGACGATAAAAGCCCAAAGGAGGAGCAGGCTTAAATGGCGACAGTTTCTCCGGCTCCTTCTCAAAAACAAAAAAAAAAAAAAGCGAAAAAACAGGCAAACAACTCCTTGCATTTGCCATATGCAAATTGCAGTTTGTTGGTCGATAAAAAATTAGCAGTCCGAAGGAAAAGACTTTGTAAACATTGGTCTAGTGAAAAATGTCTGCCGAAGAAACACATGACAAGACAGCAGAGGTGAAAAATGATGCACGCTAAAAAAAAAGGATTATTTATAAATATTTTAAAAAAATATTAGAAGCAAGTAGGAAAGCTAAAGTCAAGTGTGTTCAATTTTGAGATACCAAAAGATTGTCAGTTAAGGGCATCAAAACAAAGAACAAATCTTATATTTTATACATTTTCTCTAAAGAATTATTTGATTAATTAAATATATTTTATTTTTTATGTCATTTGAGGGTATTTTAAAAACTTTGTGAGAGTCATTTGAGACCCTATACACTATATAAAATATACCCTGTATCAGCATCATCAGCCGAGTTGATTAAGCCATGTCCGTAGGACAACAAAATATTTTTATTACATTTTAAAAAATTTACATTTTAATTAAATAAAATTCCCAATTGAAATAAATGTTGTTTTGGCTTATTAATAATTCTTTATTTTCCCAACAAAAAGTGATCATAAAAATTATGATCGTTAATAAATTCGGTTTTCCCGTAGACAACTTTCTTTCTTGTTATATTTTGTTGTGTAATATTTTATTTTTTAACAAATCAATCATCATTTAGCCATATTTTATGTCTCCTAGCCTGTGGCCTTTTATTTAAAAACTGGCTCAACTGGCTGCAACTGCTAATGATTTCCTTTTTTTTTTGGCCTGGGAAAATCTTACGCATGTTTTTTTATACATTTTCCCATACTCGCATAATTTCCAATCAAAAGTCGGAGTCTGTGCAGCGAAGCCAATCAAATTAGCATATGGCCAAAAAGAGAAAACTCCCTAAAAGGAGGCACGCAAGAGACGCGCACAATT